TTCTTGTGCTCATTTGCCGATGACTGTTCGATATTGGCGTCTGGACAGGATATTGGTGATCTTTGTTCGAAAGTAAATAGGTATCTCGTCGACAAGGTATATTTCTTAACTATACGACAACAACAAATACAGCCGGACAAATACTCGGCTACCCTTTTCACCAGCTGGACAAAGGTAGGTCGATGACGTAAAAATTCCGATCATAAACAATCTAAAATTACTGGGGGCTCACTTTTAACAGTCTGCAATTCTTGGCTCTGCATACGACCGCATTTGCGGCAAAACTCCAGAGCCGCAACTAAACACTCAAAGCGCTATCCGTCCGCACCTGGGGTAAAGACAAAGAAACCTTGCTGGCAACCTACAAAGCAATTGGCTGGTCGGTCGTTGACTTGCTGCACCGATCTGGGAACCGAAGATGTCGCCGGAGCAACATTTGCACAGCGAATCATCCATGCTGCGAGTTAAGGAGCATTTGCTGTGCAAGCAATTCCTGTGGATGATACAGCAGGGAGCACGCCAATTGGCATCTCATAGAAGCCGAACATCCACCTAGGCGCATCAGAAAGGGAGTACTCGACTGAAAAAACACTATCGAGCAGACGCATAATAATGGCGCAGAGGAATGTGTGTTAATGTGCTTAAAACAGAACCGAGATAAAAAACTCACAATCGAACCTGCAGGAAAAGGCTCAGCAGTTTGCAGTAGAATTGAGGCATGAAAAGTTCTTAGTTAGCAACAGATGGATTCAAATTTGTATAATGAGTTTTAGACGAACATAACCTCAACATAACAAAGCTCAGTTCAACGAATTACTTGATATAAGGAATGTTTACTTGTTCCCTTCTGAATATTTATATCGAGTGGGCGCTGTATTTCAAAATTCTTCTACAATCCATCTACTTAAGTTGTAGACATAAAAAAATGTCATATTTCAGTCTAGTACAACTTATATTTTTGTATGTACGTATGTACATATAAGAGGGGATTAACAAAAGTTCGGTCAGTCGGTGATTTTCCATTTGTTTTTGTTTAATCTCAAAATATCAAATGCTTTGCAATTACTTTATTGGTCCTTCTTGCAAATTTTAGAACGATCGGCAAAAATGGAGATGAGATAGCTGGGGATGGGTGTGATTCTCTTCGGGTTCGGCATAATTTACAGCAAATACAAATACTCAGTGAATACACAATTGCATATGAATCGATTGCACCGTCTTTGAAGACTATTTCTAAGTGGTTCCGAAGATTCCAGACAGGGCATTTTTCCGTAGAAGACGAGTCTCGAGAATATCGACCAAAATCTTCCACTGATGACGTTACGAATTGCAAAATTGACTCAAACCCACGATCGACACAAGAAATGATTGCTAATGAATTGGGTTTGATGTATCGCGAATGATAAGTAATCATCTAGGATACACGAAGAAATCTGCTCGAAGGGTACCACGAATTTTAAATCAGGCTCAAAAAGAGGCTCGAGTGCATTTTTCCTAAACAAATTTGAAAATGGTCAGTCCAGCAACTTTAGTGAAGCCGGTACTGGTACCGAATCTTGATTCTATAAGTGCGATCGAGTGGGAACCCACCCGTAAAATTTCAGCAACAAAAATCAGCAGCAAAAGTAATGAGGTCAGTTTACTTCACCCGATGCTATTCCACTGGAAAAGGGTCAGACGGTAACAACAAAGTGGTACACCGAAGAGTGCTTACCAAAAGTTTTCAAAAACTTGTTGGAAAGCATGAAGAAAGAGGATTTGCGGCGCTACTTTGAACACCATAACAACGCGCCATGCCACACTACTCAAATAACGCGTAATTTTATTGCGATCTCTGGGTCGAAGAAATACGTCCAGCATCATATTCCCCAGATATAGCGGCTTGTGATTTCTGGTTACTTCCAAAATATTAAAAAAAATCTAAAAGGAAGTGTCTTTAATAGTAACGAGGGGTTAATCAATGCGGTTAATGCTGCGCTTGATAAGCTTAAAAAGCAGGATTTTGAAGACTGTTTTCAGAAGTGAGTCTAAAGGCTTAAGAAATGTATTGAAGTCAATGGCGATTATGTAGAGAAGTTAACAAAGATTAAGAAAAAATACAAAAAAGAAATTTTTCTTCTGGTCAACTTACCGAACTTTCGCTAATCCCCTCGTATATATATATAGAAAAATGCATAAAAAATTACACATGTACATATGTACATATATATACAACTACTCAATGATGATTTCTACATGACTCTGTAATTGTTGCTGCACCTACATACATACATACATGCATTCATGCATACAAATACACATATTACGAAAAAAATCACAAGTCATGGCTATCTAATCAGGAACGACGTCGTCAACGAAGACTCATTTAGCTTAAATTCACATTCACAACACATTGTAGAAGATTCCATGCACACCCTACACTCTACAATGCGACAAATATTGTATTAGTGGAATTTTAGTGAAAAGAAAAAATTATTTGCACATTAAAAGTGACGTTTTTTCAGACGTATATTTTCGTTTATTTTTGCTTATTATTATTTGCTTGCGAAAAACAGAAAAAAAAATATTTACACAGAAAAAATACACATTCCACGAGTTTTTTTTATTTTATTTAGATTCAATTTAAGAAATATAAAATTAAAATTAGACTCTTTCATTTGTAAATATGTACCAAAATATATATACATATGTATGTATGTATGCATGTACATCAGGAGGGGCGTAAAATATTTATTCAAGTGAAAAAGCCGAATGTTTTAATGAATAAGCAGACAAGATAGTTTATCTGTTATCGTTAGAATACTTCGTTCAACCGAAAACCTTACAGAAATTAGTTGTTTGTAAAGAATGGAAATCCCTACGTGAAGACATAAATATATATATATGTATATATATATATATGAATAAGTATGTAATGATTGAAGTTATAAAATCATGAATGACTTTTTTCTCAATGAAAATATTATGCAAATAATTGATTACTTTCATTACTATTAATAAATACATACATACATACATCTATATATATTCTGGCTTAAGGTAAATTAAGCATCAAAAAGTAATTAATAAAAAAAAAAAATTTATGTATGTACATACATATGCAGATAAATTTTTCCATAATAAACATAAAACTTTTTTTTCGAATTCGAAGAAATTATCAAACACTCGGAAACTTAATCTTATAAATTATTCAATTTTTTTCTTAACTTGGCAAAGATTATATTTTGATTGCTCCAATCTTTTTATTTATTAGTTTTGTGCTTCTCCACTTCTTTCATCAATATATGTATGTATAAGAGGCTTTGTACTGAATGAATTTATTTTTAAATCCTTCGATTTTCATGAATTTTGAACTGAAACCAATCTATTCGAAAAAATCGTGTTTATAATTCGATTTACATAAAATTTGATTCACAGATAGCTTTTTTCCTTAACACTTTATTCCGGAATATTTGCCTGGAATCGATACGATGGTCCAGTTTTGCTTAATGTTGTATATAGGACATGGATTGCTCATTGTCTATGTATGGAGAAATTCATGGAGATTTTCTTTTAATAAATGAAAGCATTCCAGCTTTAGAATTATTCGATGCAGTACTCAGTTGAAGAGCTATCTGGTTTTACTAGGTATAGAAATACCTGGCCCAGGAACAAACGGAAAGACTGATTTTTTTTATTATATTAAGCAAAAAATCTGTTAAGTTTCCAATATTTGTTTTATTATTTTTAGATTTATTTATTTATTTCTTTTCTTTAAAAGGAAAATATATTTACGACGATATAAAATAAAAAATTATTATTTTCTATTATTTCTAGCGTCATAACTTTTATTCAATCTTTTATTAATCGTCCCTCAAATTTATGGCATGCGTTTTGATATTTTTCCAATAAACGTCGGCAGCTACAGCTTATTCTAAATCGTCCCCAATGTTACCTGTTGACCTAAACGGGTTTAAGTCATCAACTCTCGGAGCAGCTGATGGATCTTTATGAAGAGCTTTTTATTTCAAGCAAGAAATCTACTCGGAGGTGTTAACATTCCCTGTCGAGGGAATTTGAAAAAGTTAGCACAATTTTTAATTAAAATTTTTTTTCTTTAAGTTTCGAATGTTGTTATCGGGCCTGAAATCGAATCCAGGATCCTCTGCAAGGTAGTACGCATTGCTAACTACGCAGCAATAGGTCATTTTATAATGTCTAATAGCACAGTCTCCGCCATTAAATTTCATATCTTATTAAACGCTAAGAGTTTTCGGATAATGATTTATGATTACACTTCAAATAACGACAAGGGAGAAAAACTGTTTGATTGAATTTATAATGCAGAATGCCACACCCTTAATTTATTATTTTAGATTATTAATCCAAGTTAAAATGTTTGCTGTTTATTGCTACGAACAGGAAATATAAAAGTACGAAAAGATGAAAGATTATTTTTCAAAAATATGTGCATATTTCAGTGAGATTTTAATTGCAATCAAAAATGTTGTAATTTTGTGAAGAATTTAAGAACACAACCTGAAAATGTCAAATTAAAAACTTTTGCGACGGGATCATATACAAACTTGCTAAAATAAGGCTGTGAACAATTAGAGAAAAGGTAAAAGCTACAGCCAATGCCAGCCAATACCGACTGTAGCGCCCTTTCGGCGCCTTAGATAATAAAGAATAGATAACCGTCAAATAAGAGCTTGTTCTAATCTGTTTTGCGTTTATTTATTTTTTTTTTTTATTAAATTTATTTATAACTAAAAAATATTTACTGTGAATTTGCAGCGAATCGTGTAATTACATTACAATATATAAATACAATAAAAATCTACGTACATATTTATGTAAAAACGCATAGCTTTTAGCTGTTTCGTGTTCGATTTTATTATTATTACTATTTCATAGTTTTTATTTTCAGTTTATGTGTTTTAAAAAATGTGTATTATTTATAAAAGAGATTATTACAAGAACGTTTTTCTTCTTTGTTTTGGAAATTTAATTGAAAAATATACAGTTGAGAAACTTTTTATTGTAAATATTCAATTTGCTTGCCGGTTTGTATTCTACCAATAAATACAATAAATTTTATTAATAAAACTTTTTAATCAACAAATATTTCAATACTAAAAGGAGAATGCGTATTAAAAAAAAATATTTAAGTTTTAGTTTCAAAAAAGACCAGTTCAGTTTTTTAGTTAGTGCAGCATAACAATTTTTAAATTAACATATCCAATGTACTTCTATAATTCTTTGCACATATTTTTTGATTTATTCACAGCTTAAATATTTACTCTCTTTACTTTTGTATTGTTTTAGACATTTACGCATGTTATATGATCGCATTGCCTCAATATAGCTTTCATTATATTAAATACTTCATCCTATGTATACATATGTACGAATTACAGTTTTTACGCATAGCCGCAATAAGAATTACAAAAAGTGTATAAATAGAGTAAATTTAAATCCTTCAATCGCTTTTAACATGTAATTGCAATGTTATAGTTAACAAACTGCTCGTTTTATACAAGTTTGTAAGCATGTAGAATGTGTGTTTTGTTTTCAATAAAAAAAAGTAATATAGATAAAACTTAGCCCACATCGCCCAATAAGGCCAACAGTTCCCTTTACTACATTTTCCATAACACTTATTTGGTTTTTAGTTAAGCCAAAAATAATATTATTATGGTTAAAGTATGTGCACAAATGTAGTCATGAATACGGCACCAGTATTTCTATGCAACAGCAACACACACAACAAATACCGCCTACTATTGCCCCTCCACCCGCCTCGTTTGTGTTGAGCTATTAATTGCATTCAAACAGCTTCGGAAGTTTGTGTTTGAACTTGTTTACATGCGCCGAGTATGTAACCTTTTGCAGTGATTACCCCGCGACAACGAACATGTACTTGATAACGAAGGGCCCAATCCACCTGGTAACCGGGTAAAATGAATTGTTCATCTGGCAGCAAAATTTCTGGATCGCTATGTGTTAAAAGCTGAATATCGTGTTTAGTACAGTATTCTTGTAATGCAGGTGGTACAACACAGCATGATTCCAAATTAATTTGTGCAATAGTTGGATAAACTTTAGATGTTGTATATAGTTGCTGTAGCTGATCGATATCCAAATCGGCTATACCCAATTGTGTAATTTTCTTTTCCTGTGCAAATTGTTCTAATGATGTCCACAACTCTCGCAGTTGATCTATATTTTCATTACTGTTGCTTTGTGATGCGTTGTCTTCAGTTTTCGGATGATATGCCAAAACTACATTATCCACGTGCTCTACTTTAAGTACTTGTAGTAATGTTCTTATCGCCTGTTCAACGAACGAACTAGAGCTTTTGTTCAAAAATATTTTTGCACCAATACTTATTTCTGATCGATTATTTTCTGTTAATTTCTTTTCCAATTCTTCGCTTGCGCGTAAAATACTACCATCTGCTTCAATTAATTCAACCTGAGCAGCCGCTTTTGGGCATTGTAATGTCAATTTTAAGCCGCCTAGGATTTCATCAGTTGACTTTCCACCCAATTGCTTGTTCAAGTTGAGAATATTCCCTGTGCTGATAATGACATTGTGAAATTTGTCATTAGATGTTATTGCTGGAATCATTGTCATCAAATGAGCAAAGTAATCTAGGGAAAATATAAATTGTGTTATTGTGTATGCGAACTCGAACGCGAAGTATGTGGGTGTTAGCTCTGCTTTTGATGTTCCAGGTCCGCTAAACTAAATCGTCTATGGTATGTCACACGCGTTTATGGTTTTTATATACAGCTCTTGTGTTGCTCCGATATGCTAACAAAAATAACAACAAAATCTAGTAACCGCACACCGAACCACACTGAATTATTTAATTAACAATTGGACAGCAAATGACAAACAGAAATGAACATGCTCCAATGACATTTGGTAAGCTGTCAAAAACAAAGCGAATTCATTGCGGGCAAGCTAAAGCGAAGTCATCGAAGGTGCGATCAGAGATATATTCTACTACTGCATTCCTTTTCTTTGGTTTTTTTTAATTTATGTGTATATTGGATTCCCCATAAACTATGTGATCATAATTTAGACCTTCCGAGATCTCCCTCTACCTTCATGTAGCCTAACGTGCCAGTTGCTATGAGTTTTTGTTGTAGCGGATTCGTTAACCCCGCTTAGGTACAGCATAATCAATCCATGTCACCGAGGTGTTCTAACGGGACGTCCAGGAAACGTGCTGTTTCTACGGGGTCTGACCAGAGAGATAGGGAGGTTAGACGTGTCGGTTTACGTGGGCATTGTGAAGGAGTAACAACCGTGTCGTGCGGAGACTCGCCACATGCAGGGCATACGTTGAGTATGTCGAGTCTGGATAGGTAGAAGTTTAACCTGCTGTAATATACAGACCTAAGTTGTTTCAATGTCACGCGGGTCTCTGCAGGCAGGTGCTTTTTTTCAAGCTCACCATACACAGGAAGTGGGTAAATTCTTGCCGTCCTGTCCAGCGGTTATTGTAAGTATTGCTGGATGGTGTCTTTCATGTTTAGTACTCCCTTTATGATGTGCCTAGATGGATGTTCGGCATCTATGAGATTGCTTGCACAGAAAAGCATTATGCTCCGCAACTCGTAGCTGCGAGGAGCTCCGTGAGAGAGTAGAGGTCTATTGGTTGCCTAGATGGATGTTCGGCATCTATGAGATTGCTTGCACAGAAAAGCATTATGCTCCGCAACTCGTAGCTGCGAGGAGCTTCGTGAGAGAGTAGAGGTCTATTGGTTGACCAAAGTGGGAAGTGGTGCTACAGGCACTGCCATGGAGGCTGGAGGCACACTTGGGTGCTGGCAGCATAGGGCCACGTAACTTGTAAACCACTCCCAGCGGGTCTCAAAGCATGAGCATCCCTTAAGATTACTCAGCTCACTGGTTGCCCCTAACCGAGTGCTATAGTCCTTTATGGCACCCCAGGGTTGGTTTCCACGCCAGCAATGATGAGAAGGATTTGGAGGAGCCCAGCTGCGAGGTGTTGCTCCTTTGTTGCACTTAAATTAATATTATCTGTTGACCTAAACGGGGCTATGTCCCCGAAAGGGTAACAGCCCATGGCCGGATAAAATCCGGGTCAACTCAAAACGGTTAAATTAAGACAAGTTGCTCATTTTGTTGTTTACCACTACGTTCGATAACTTCATTCAAATTATAAGTGAATACATTTACTAAATTCATGTTTGAAAGTAAAAAAAATCGTGTTTACTTACAGATCCTAAGGCAAATTTACACACGGTGGTAGTAAGAATACAAAAACAAGAAGCCTATGTATTTTGTTTGTGTAATCACAGTTTCAAAATGTCAATAACGAAAATTGTTCAATGTATTTTGTTTGTGTAAATTTTTGAAATGGAAGGAAGAACAAGTAGTCATACTTGTATGATGTGACAACTTCACCTTTTGTAAATTCGCCTCAGAATATTAAAAAAAAAAAAATAGAAAACATTTGCAAAGCTTTTAATTCAATTACGTGAGTGTAATGAGAGTAATATATATGTACGTATGAACGGTTAATTTAACAGATTAAGAAGTTCTTTTTATTTGAATATTTCGCAGAATCTCATTAATATTTAAATGCTGAAATTAGATTTTGTCAAATCGCTCTTTGCAATGTTTAATATATTCCTCAGAAAGGAAGGAATACTCCGTCTTCCCAGTATGTTTCCTGAATTTAATACACCCAGCGAACGAATCTCTCTGAAATTCGAACACTGTATAGGGGCAGTCCACGTCGGCCATTGTTTCTTCTATTAAGGTTAGCATAGAGTACAAGAATCCTGTGCAAATATGTGGTTCCCAACGGCGATTCTAGAAAAAAAAAATACACTTCAGTAAAATATCACGAAACTTTTTAGTATGCAATATATGTATGTATGTAGTATGGATGTAATTTTACATTTCGTATATCATTAACGGTATTAACTCGTACTGGATGATTTATGATGCCATTACGATTTTTCAAACCAAAACATATGTCTTGGGTATCTGTTAGATAGGATTGCAGCCACCAGATTAAACATTTTGGGTTGTTTAAGGTTTCCTCTGAGTAATTTCCAGCTCGAAGCAATTTTGTCATTAAAAATCTGCTTTTATTAACTTCTTCCATGTTTTGACTGAAATAAAAGAGGAATTCATGATTTTGGTAACATATTTTAGAAAAATTCTCAATACACATATTAGAAGTAATTTTAGGCGCGTATGCGTGTATGTACATATTTGCATACATATTTAATTTGAATTTTTGTTTGAAAGATCAAATAGACTATGCTATGTTTTATGCATAAATTTTTTATGATTTATGTGTACATATGTATGTAAGTAAACAAACACGTTTAGGCAAAACTATAAGTTTTCGCATTCAGCATTTCTATAAAAATACGAGACATTAACGTACTTACATATCAATTTTTTTATCTGATATTACTCCTCCTATTTCTGCAGAATAAATCAGATCGAATTTTCTCAAACTTGTATGATACACACCAAATGGAACACTGTTTTCATCAAACGGCTCATCGGTAATAGGGTCTTCATTGGGATCATCTGAAATTTCAATGTGAAATCATTTAATGTAGTTATCTGTATATGTATGTATATGCAAAACACTCTGATCCTTACAAGAAAAACAAGTTTGCACAAATTTTCCATGATAAGAATCTTCCTCTGTACAACGATCTGCCCAGCCGAATTCAGTCAAATGTAGAATATCGCAATATTTAGAAGCGTATATAGTGAAATCATTATATTTCGTAGCCTGTAGCCGATATGGTATTGCCATTATACGAGCCAATGCCCCGCGTATACATAAAATCAATTTACGTTTAGCATTCCCTTCAGACTTTTCAGAGTTCAAGGCATCTGGCTGCAACACACTCTCTTTAGTTTCAAGGATATATTTTTGAACTGTGTCTAGCAAATGCGTTAATTCGACTTTTGGTCGAAAAATATACTCATCAAATCCTTCGTTCAAATTTATTGGATATAAAGATGGCTTCGGGCTTTTAAAGTATTTAAGTCGTTCAGTTTTAGTAATCTCGCCTGTACTGGAACAAGTGTATATGGCACATATCCTTGGCCGATCTATAAACACTAAATCCTGCAAGTCATCGTCAAATAGTTCATGAGTTACTTCCAGTAGCACATCATAGCCATCGCTTGTGTGGTACGCGAACATTTTACTCCTCCAATTTTATACGTCTTTACACAATAGTCGTCAACAGCTAACTACACCCGAGATATCGCCTATAACGTTATATGCCAAGGTGCCACAATTCTTTGCAAATTTTAAGCTACATACATATGTATACATATGTATATGCAAGAATTTATATATTTAAGCTTAAATTGATTACCCAGGAGAGAATGGTATTGGCTTTTCAATAAAGAAGTAAGTTGCTTTACTGTATTCTACAACCTGCAGCATCGATTACATTTTGTACAGGACTTGTGTTTGAAAATTCATTCATTAAATCTTGTTCCCGCAAAACAGAGGCATCTTAATCTTTCAATTTTGTTATCGGTTAATTCTAACTGACCTTTCATAAGTTGGATCAGCTACGCGCGACGGCAATACCGTGCGTGGCCGGAAAATTTTAGATTTTACCGTAAGAATCGTGTTCTCTCTTCTCTGATCTTTTCCTTCTGCTTACTCATGCAGTCGTTTGTATAAGCTTTGTTGCAAACATACAAATGGGAAACATTGTGCAAATTCAAACAAACAAATGATACCAAATGCGCACCTTATGCTGCAACTACCCAACTCACGTACCAGCCCTCCATAGTAACCTATCTTATGAGAGCGCCATGTAAACACAAAGTTGTCACCGCTTGCCCATGCCGTTAGTGACGGTTGTCCCGCAGAAACCAACGAAGATTTGATTTTTTCCGTAAAACCGGCTCGGCTCATTTTTCGTTGCTATACAAGGTTGCCAGTATAGCCTTTCTTAAAGAAACATTAAATAATCGAAGAAAATACGTACTCTTTTTTTAGAAGAAATGAAAAATAAAAGCCTAACTAATTATTTGTACCATATAGATCATGTATATTTGTCTTTTGTTTATATTGAAGCAAATAAAATATGAAATTCGTTGACGAAAATTATGAATTTGTTCAAAAGTGTGCAAACACACAGGCAGCTGGCAACATTTCACCGCTCTCAGCGGCGTCGATAGCTCGTGTGTTTATCTCGCCTTTTCGTCACCACTTATGGACGGCTGGTAAGTGAAATGGGTAGTTGCAGCCTTACGGCCGCTACGTTGGTAAGTTCTTTACAATTTAGTGCATTCTACGGTAATCAGCCAGGGTCTACGAATACGTTCGTGAGTGTCTACAGTATTAGTCTAGTGATTTCGCGTACATAAAAAGGGAATTCCCTATTCTATTGAATAACTAGCAGACTGTGTGCCTTTTCACACTAGAAAGAAGACACATTCCAACTGTTTCACTCTGGCTGAAAACAACAAGAACAAAATCGCTATATGTAAGTATGTATATGGCGTATGAGAGTGTTTGCTAATTTTGCGCTTGCGAAGAACGCAAAAACTCTATGCACACGTGAAATATATGTATGTGTACTCCGCGTGGACTTTGGAGTGATCCGAAACTAACTACAATCCATAAAAAATATTTGGTCCAATTAACATTGCAACGCCTTAGGGCTGGACCGTACAACCCATCGCTACATAACATCCGAGTAATGAGATTATTCCAAATTAATCCAAATACTCCATGGAGTACCTATAGTGCCTTACCTTGTGGAATATATATGAAGAATGGCATTCGCATTGGACAATATTATATAATATTAGCTCAAATTGATGCATGTCTTTTGTGAACCACCAGAACTCCCCAACAAACTGAAACTGACTCGTTTTCATTTTCACAAATTTTCTGTGCAAGAGTATAGTAAATCTTATTTGTGCACTTGCAACTTCGTTTACTAATTGCGATCGCTAAATCGCGATCAAACATCGGCTAACGACAAGCTGGTAGCGAGACGTGAGTTGATCCAATAGTACACAACAGATCACCATTATATTGGACCATACGTTCGTCCGGAAATTTTTGTTGAGTACGACTGTAACATATATATATGTACGAAGTGTGTCCAAAAAATATCGCGAATTTTGTGTTTTTTCAAAAATTATTTATTTATTCATGAATATCAATTTTGTCCCCTTCAAAGTAATCCCCATGCGATATTATACACTTGTGCCAGCGGTTTTTCCAGTCTTCGAAGCACTTCAGAAAATCATTTTTCTATTTTGTTCAGCTCCTCCTTCGATGCCGTCTTTATCTCATCAATCGTAGCGTAACGTCGTCCTTTTATGGGCCTCTTCAGTTTAGGGAACAAGAAAAAGTCACAGGGGCCCAGGTCTTGGGAATACGGTGGCTGCAGCATAATTAGTGTGTTGTTTTTGGCCAATAAGTTGCGCACAAGCAACGATGTGTGAGCAGGGCCGTTAACTTGCAGGCAATATTCCTTATTGACCATTCTACCCTGTGCCAATACCATTTTCTCCGCGTGCAAGCAAAGCAGCTGTCAACAATTAAGTGAACATTCAAAATGGCCGACCTTGTCATAAGGTGACAGACATGAGTACCAACATAACACCGCAAAAAAATCGAAATTCGATTGTACGTAATCCGCGAAAATTCAAAATTCGCGATACTTTTTGAACACACCTCTTTCATACATATGCATTATTAGTTTTGGAGTACTCTTTCATTACGTGCAGCATATATATATTTACATGCATATTTCAGAAGCGTTTTTTTTTTCAATATAAGAATAGAATGGAATAGTAAAGCGAATTTGAGGATAGCAAGAATGATATGATGTAGATATTTACCACCGGAAACAGCAGATCTGCTGACGTCACACCAAGTGACTTTGGAGCCGAGACATGAATGCGCCCGATTGAGATTTTTCGTTTTGTCTTACATCCAGACCCATACGCTTTGTTCCCTTATCAAGTCTGTAGGAAACAGAGCTAACAGCGCGATTGTTAAGGCCTATGATATCAACATCATCAACATACGCCAGCAGTTTTACAGTCTTGTCTATTTAGCTCTGCCTATTCCCCTGTCATTAAATTGAAGAACTTACACGAGCAAGAGTCACCCTAAAGCCTCGTTTGGTACTGAACGACTCGGTAAGGTCCATCACAATTCCAAATGCGCTTCTGGACTTGTTCAGCGCCAGTTTAAACACATATATGTATATATATGTATATAACAGACTATAAAATGGAAATTGATTTTTTCTCACTTATTTTCGAAGATTGGGCGGATAGAGAATATCTGGTTAATGCTTGATTTACCACGTCTACAGCCACACTGATATGGTTCTACTCGGTAGTAAAGTGCCCGACCCACTGCATAGTTTGCTACAGCAATCTTGAGGAGTAAGTGGACCAACTATCTTCTCCACTTTACCTGGATGTTGCACTCCATATAGATGCTAAAATTTCACCAGCAGCTGTAAAATTTTTTAATTCCAGATCTTTGTCAATTGTTTTGCTCTGTGAGTCGATACAAAAGAATCACGTGGTAATATTCGTCCTGATAACTGACGACTGATGGCGCTCCACGAGTTTAAATGCGCAACATTCACATACATTATATATGTATGTATGTATAATTGGCACTTTGTAACCGCTGAAGCGATTTTCGGTCGAGCTCCTTCTCCAACGTGTAATGCACGTCTTAATGTTTGCCCAACAAATTGGGAGACCTACAGTTTATATAAACCGCCTCCGAACGACTGATTTCATGATGAGTTTTTCATGTCAGAAATACCCTTGGAGGAGTTCATATTATTTTTTGTTTAAATAAATTTTCCGTAATTTTTTAGATATACACATTTTGCACCTGGCCTTCCGAATGGCAGTACGCTTCAATGTAATCGAAAAATTATCTTGACTTATGAGACCCATTTGCACCTCGACGACCACATTAATAAACAAAACTGACTCATCTGCGGCCCAGAAAACCCAAGATTTATTATAGAAAATTCGCTCCATCCTCCAGGTGTACATGCAGTTTATGGTTTGGCAGGGTCATTGGGCCTTAAATTTTCGAAAATGAATGGACTACGCTATCGAGAGATGAATAATGGCCTTTTATGACCGGAAGTGGATAGTATTGATGCAGAGAAAGTTTACTTTCAATAAGACTGAAAGAAACTAAAATGAACAAAGTGCATTAGTCGCATAAAAAGTTGCATCTAAATTATTGTTTTTAAAATCTCTCACTGCATCGGCGATAACTTTACCATATCGAAGATTTTCGTTGGGTCTTCCATGAAACGGATAGATAACTATAGACTTAACTGTATTTGCGAAGTTCGTGCAGAGACCAGGGGCTTGCCTACTCGAAAAAATTCTATTTTTGATTCGATTTACATAAAATTCGGTACATTGGTGGCTCTTTGCGAAAAATTCGCTTAAATGGGACAACTTTTGTTTATTTAAAATGGACCAAAGACCTGGAATCAAGTTCCATTTTCCCCAAATATAAATAATATTTTCTTAACCGAAAAGGGGCCCGCGAGAGATTGACAAAAATTAGCATTTTTATAATTTTGTGGCTGCGGATTTGACTTGAGTGTGAATACGCAAAGATCCGAATGATGCGTTTGGCTTACTTCGAAAAGTTAATATTGATATTTTTAGACCATGAGCTGCAAGGAAGTGACCCACACCTATATAAAAGTAGATAAAACAATTTATATATATTGGGTTGCCCAAAAAGTAGTTGCGGATTTTTCATATAGTCGGCGTTGACAAATTTTTTTTCAACGGCTTGTGACTCTGTAATTACATTCTTTCTTCTGTCAGTTAACAGCTGTTACTTTGAGCTTGCTTTAGAAAAAAAGTGCGCGAAATTTTGTTTACATTTGTTTGTTTGGCGTCCATTTTAATATGGAGCCCACAAAGGAGCATTTTCGTCATATTTTACTTTATTATTTCCGGAAAGGAAAAAACGCGGAGCAGGTTGCTAAAAAGTTACGAGATGTGTATGGTGATGAAGCCTTAAAAGGAAGACAGTGTCAAAATTGGCTTCGCAAATTCCGTTCTGGAGATTTTTCACTTAAAGATGAGCCACGTTCAGGTCGGCCAAATGAAGTTGCTGATGACCAAATCAAAGCATTAATCGAATTGGATCGTCATGTAACTAAGCGTGAGATAGGAGAGAAGTTAAATATACCAAAATCAACCGTTCATTATCACATAAAAAGTCTTGGACTGGTGAAAAAGCTTGATATTTGGGGACCACATGTATTGAAAGAAATTCATTTAACACACCGAATCAACGCTTGTGATATGCACCTTAAACGCAACGTTTTTAAAACGAATCATAACTGGAGATGAAAAATGGATTGTTTACAACAACGTTAGTCGAAAACGATCATGGTCCAAGCATGGTGAATCAGCTCAAACCACTTCAAAGGCTGATATCCACCAAAAGAAGGTTATGCTGTCTGTTTGGTGGGATTGGAAGGGATGTCGTATATTTTGAGCTGCTTCCAAGGAACCAAACGATTAATTCGGATGTTTACTGTCAACAATTGGACAAATTGAATACAGCCATCAAGGAGAAGCGACCAGAATTGGTCAATCGTAAAGGTGTCATATTCCACCAGGACAACGCTAGACCGCACACATCTTTGGTCGCTCGCCAAAAACTGAGTGAGCTTGGCTGGGAACTTTTGATGCATCCACCACATAGCCCTGACCTTGCACCATCAGACTACCATTTATTTCGATCTTTGCAGAACTCCTTAAATGATAAAACTTTCGGCAATGATGAGGCTATAAAATCGCACTTGGTTCAGTTTTTAGCAGATAAAGGCCAGAAGTTCTATGAGCGTGGAATACTAAATTTGCCAGGAAGATGGCAAAAGGTTATCGAACAAAATGGCAATTATATATTTGATTAAAGTTCATTCTAAGTTTTATTAAAAATGCATTTACTTTCTTTTAAAAAATCCGCAACTACTTTTTGGGCAACCTAATATATAAATATATAAAAATTACGTCCGTTTCAACAGATCTGCAAATTTCTAAAAGTGGCCAACCTTTCAAAGATGAAGACTTTCCCATTCCTCGAATGCCTGTCATTCCACCCGGTACTCCTTTTCAGTTCAAGCGATTACAGTTGCCTACTCGACTAGCGTTTGCAAGTTATGGGGTCCAGATTTAGATACGGGACTAGGGTTGAAAAACGAAACCCAAATTAAAGCCTTCTGTTCCACTAACTTTTGGACCTATCCATGCATACTATTGTACTTACTGATAGGCAACTCTTCAAAATTCCATCGGTTCGCTACTTTTGCTTGTAACAGAATTGTATTAAATACTCGTAGATTCAGATAAAAATGTGTTTATTATATTAAAAACGTACAAAAGAACTAAAATTACTTGAATATACAATTAATTAAGGATCAACTGAAAAACTTCAATTCAACTCATAATTCAAATATATAATTAATTACTACATACACACATGCATATGTACATATGTATATGAATTGCAAAGGCCTTTGAATTATGTAGGTCTATTCTTTTTCGAAAGATGTTCGCTCCTTGCAATGCTTTATATACTCTTCGTTTAGGAAAGAGTGTTCTGTTTTGCCCAAATGAATCTTGAATTTAATACATCTTTGGAAAGAATCATACATAAATTCGTAGGTGGTATATGGGCAGTTAACATGGTCCATTGTCTCTTCTACCAGCTTTATGACGTTGTATAGGAAACGTACGCATATGTGTGGCTTCCAACATCGATTCTACAACATAAATAAACAAGACAAACGGAAAATTCGATTTATATCGATCATAAAATATGTATGAATGTAAATATTGATATTACTATTGCTAAATCTTTACAAGCTCTGACTTGGACTGGAGAACGCACTACGCCATCATTATCTTTCAGACCAATACAGATATCGCTGACATTTCCTAAATACGCTTGTAGCCACCAATGTAAACATTTTGGATGATTTAAAACATCTTCGCCACGTTGCCTGCTCCAAAGCAATTTTGTCATAATAAATCTACACTTGTTGACTTCATTCAAATCATGACTAAAACAGATAAAAATTTAAAATTAATTATACGTTAATATAAACTCCAAATATGTATTAACATTCATACGTAAATATATTATTATTATTTCAAAATAATAATTTGTTCCTCGCAAAATTGTTTGCACAAATATGTGCATATGTTTGTACATAGTTTAATATAGAATCAGAATGGAGTTCATTTGCAGTGATATGGAGTCTTCAGACAACCGCTTACAGCAAACTGTCAGTATATGACACCTCCTACGTACTTACACGTCATCAATCTTGTGTTCGGATATAATTCCTCCAGTCTCTCCGGAATAGATCAAATCATACTCTTTCAGTAAAGTATGAAAGACAGAATATTCTGTATTGTTCTGATCGACAGGTTCATTGGTGTTCGGCTCCAGGTCGGGATCGTCTAGAAATAGTTAAATAAAACTTATAGCCTTTCATCATTTCTCGACGGGTTTCTCTGCCAGAATTCAGGAAGCAGTTTCTTGTCTCAAATATAGAGCATTGTCTCAGAAGTATAATTTTTATATCAGTTCATATTTGAGAATTTTAAAAGTTTTCAAACACATGGTTCTTGCTAGTTATATATGTTTGTATGTTGTAATTATTTATATATTTTTATTAATTGTTAATTTACTACCATACATACATACATATGTCAATATCGGTATACACTGATGCTCACCAGAGAAGCAGCATTGCATAAATTTTAAATGGTATGTATCATTTTTCGAACGTTTATCAACCCATGAAGTATCGCTCATGTGAAGTATTCCACAGTATTTGGTTGCATAAAATATTGTATTATTATAATTCGATGCTTTTAGTCGATAAGGTATAATCATAATGCTAGATAATACACCACGTTGACATAGAATCACTTTGCGTTTTATATTTTGTTTTGATTGCTCCTTAACCGACGATGTTTTTGTATTCAGACCAATATTTGGCTGCAATACATTTTCCTTGGCTTCTATTACATATTTCTGTACCTTGCTCAGCAGTTGCATGCTCGTATAATTCGTCCGGAATATAAATTTTTCAAATCCTTCATTTAGGTCCAGGGGATGAGATTGAACTTTTGGTTCATGAAAATATTTAATGTGCACATCATCGGTAATGTCAACCGAGTTGAAAATTGTGTAAATTGCACGGATTTTTGGTCGACTGAGATAAAATGCTGGCGAGTTCTTTTCATTTAATAAATCATAAGGCCGCAAATTCATAAGATTTTTATAACCGTTATCAATATTATTCGCTCGGTTTCCTGTGTGATGATGGAAAGCCATTTTTTCTTCAGTAATTTAAAAATTGTATTTATATGTAATTTCGCTTATCACCCGTTACGATTTACTTTTACTGACATTAAATACAAAATGAAGTTAAACCTGTGCATTAATCGCTACACACAATTCAAAGCTACTACAGTGTTATATGCACACACACTTTGTCTATATGTACATATGTATACATAAGGGCGGACCGGACCTTCCAAACAATATTTCAAGCAGTTTCAAATTCTAATGAAATTCGAATACATAAATTGAAAAATTGAAATGATAATTAGTGTGTTCGGCGAGCTGCTGACAGTATTAAAAATTATTGCCAACTTTTACTGAATTCTGTTCGGTGCAAAAACACTAAATTTCCTCCTTTGGAAGAGCAAAACAATTTTGTTACTTTCTAATTCCTTCCGACATATCTCACCGAACAGAACTAATATAAAAGCGTGACTAATCCAATTTTCTTAAAGCTCTATCCCAATAAGTACCCTACCGCTTATATATCCGGACTTGGTGTAGCACATCGCCAATACAGTTTTCAAGTATAAAAATATTAATTTGTGCAAGTCGACCTATCCTAATAAAAATATTTCTATATCAGTATTCAGTTTATGCATCCCAGTCGGAAATTGCGCAAAGCTCTACTTCTTTGAGCACAAAGAACAACCGAATTCACGAAGCATCCATATGCCATTCTAAGCAAAATGGTGATGTGAGCTTTGCGGCTCATGCGTTACGATGTGTCATTATTAAAAACTTCCTATAATTCATTTCATAGAAGAAAAGTTTAAGTTGCCGACACATTAGTATTATACATTGCCAATACAATTTCCAAATGGGATGCATGTAATTACGGTTGTACATATCTATATAAATATGTAGAGCAATTTTTATCAGAAGAATTAACAAGGGGGTTCCCCCGTGTATGCATAAAGCATACATCGAGTAGGGAATTTATTTTAAATCAAATCATTTTCCATTTTCAAATATCTATTTATTTTCTATAGTACTGAGTACTTACTTTTTATAGGGCTTGGTAAATCAAACTATTCTTAAAGAAAATAATCCTAGTAATACTATGAACTTAGAAATTAAATAAATAACGCTTGTGCATTTAATTATGTACATATGCACATTATGTATATTTCCATGCAAATAGTATAAAAATATACATACACATAATTTGTATATACCAAGTTGCTAATTACGGAGCCATTTTGTGGCAAACACAAAAAATAAAATGTATGTACATATGTATGCGATTAATATAAGCGGGAAGGCGATATATGGTACATAGTTATTCCTTTACTAACTACTTTTCTGCGGTACGTTCTTTACAATGCTTTATGTACTTCTCGGATAAGAATGAGTATTGTGTTTTACCAGTAAAGATTCGGTATTTAATACATTTTTTGAAAGAATCATATATAAATTCATAAACTGTGTAAGGGCAATCAACTTCGCTCATCACTTCTTCAACCGCTTTTAAGGTAGTACGCAGAAATCTTGTACAAATATGAGGCTTCCACTTTTGTTGCTGTTATGCAATAAATAACAAAGAATTACAATTTTACATTCAATTAAATTTTAATTTTAAAGTTATGATACTTACTTGCGGTATATTCTTTACTTGGTTTACCACCACTTCGTTGCGTATTACACCGTCTGTATCTTTAAGACCTACGCAGATATCATTGGATTTTGCCAAATATGCTTGCAGCCACCAATGTAAACTTTTTGAATGGCTGAATATATTTTCTGTGCGTTGAGAAGTCCACAATAATTTAGTATTTATAAATCTGCATTTGTTTATTTCGTCCATATTATAGCTGTATTGATTATACATATTCATATCGATGAGTTCTTTAGAAATTCGTTAAGGATTCGTGAAACTTACACATCATAAATCTTGTGATCAGAAATTATACCCCCGACTTCCGCAGAGTAAATTAAATCATATTCTTTTATTGTAGATTTAAATATACCATAAACTCTTTCATTATCATTAACAGGCACGTTGGTAATGGGATCTAGATCCGGATCATCTAGAAAAAAATACCAAAAAGAGTTCAGTTTTTTATGTACATGTTATACATATATGTACATATTTCTCGGAAACCTTGAAGCAGAGGAGTTCTGATATCAATTAAAACCACTCGCCAATAATTTTTCGTCAATAAACTCACCAGATAAGCAGACATCCATGAATTTACCGTGATATGAATCATTTTTCGTTCTCCCTTCATCCCAACCCATATGCATGATATGGAGGATCCCACAATATCGTGTGGCATAAAAAGTGACATTATTATACTCCGAAGCTTTTAATCTATATGGGATAAGCATAATATGGCTTAAGAAGCCACGCTGGCTCAACACTACTTTGCGCTTTGGCATATCTTGTGCTCGATCTGACCCAGTGATTGATGTTTGGGTGTTTGCCGACGCATTCGGTTGTAGTACATTTTCTTCGGTTTCTAATACAAATTTTTGTACCTTACCTAGCATTTGGTAGTTGTTTATACGGTTTTGGAAAATATGTTGATCAAACCCTTCATTTAAATCTATTGGATATGACTTGGGCGATTTAAAGTATTTCAGTTTTACATCCCTGGTAATAAATTCAGGATCAACCGCCGAGTAGAGAGCACAAATTTCTGGCCGAGTGAGGTAAAATGCTGGTGGGTGACGATCATTTGTCAATTCCTTATACTCCAAATTCATAAGTATTTTATAAACATCTCTATCAGTATGCTTTGCGGCCATTTTTCTATAAATATTTGTAGTTTTAGCAAAAGATCTTCGGACTGTGTTTTATTATTAAATGGGTAAAAAAACTTGCATCGCCGAATTTACAAAAGCAGCAAAGTTGTAAATTGTGTTCGGTAAGCTTATGGGAAGTAGCAACAATTTAACGTTTAATTTTGAGAAATAGTTGCAAATTCGTTCTGGGAAAATTTCAGCCAGTAAAAACTACCTAGCTTGAAAAACTGCTGATTTGTGATGATATGATTGAAAACTTATTTACAATTAAAATAATATTAATTTTTTTAACACGAATTATACTCTAACACGATAAGCGAGGTACTTGTTGAAGACAGTGGAATGAAATTCTCGCCCGCACTCCATACAGGAAATGTAAGGCATGGATAATCTTCGTTCGTTACATCATAATTGTTTTGAATAAATTTTAGAATATGCTAATTTTAATAAATTAAAAATGACATATTATTGAGTTTCTACAGTTTTGTTGAAGTAAAATCCAAGCAAGAGCATAATTTTTCTCTTAATTCAGGTCATGGCTTCCGGAAGCTTAAGAATGATTATAGTTATTGTGACAATCGCAAAAAACTTGCTTCGTAATGTTTTTGGTCTTTTGTCATTCAACGAGTACCTTAACCATTTAATTGAATCGTTGATACTATTAAATTTACCTTAGCAAAATTATATATGTGCATTTTATTAGTATATCATTTATATTAAAGTGTTAATATTTTAATTTTAAATCAATTTCGGTTTGTTGTCAAAAGTTCAATCATATGATCACAAATCAGCTGCTTATCATATATACATATATGCTAGTTTTTACCGAAATTTCCCAATACGAATTGTTATTGCTTATCTAGTCACCGAACAGAGCTAATAAACTGCCAAATTGAACAGCTGTTATACATCTTGTTACTTAATTTTTATTGAATCCTTTTCGGTGAAAACCCAGCAAATTTCACCCTTTGCGACTGACATTTCTCACCGAACAGAGCTATTTATGTGCAACCAGATGCTAGAATGTAATTGGGAAATGAATATTTGTGGGTTAAAATATTTAAATTAAGAGTTCTTTTTTTTAGTGTTAAATGCATCATAGATAATAAATTTTCCAATTGCCGTCGACTCATAAATCGGCTTGGAAAAAAGCGGCATAAGTGCAGAATACAGCCCATTAAGTTAGAACAAAATGAATTAAAGATCGTAGTCCTCTGATTTCGGAATTTTTTTTATAATTGGAAAAGCTTTTTTTATAGAAAAATTAATTTCTAAATTTTTGTGTGATAATTCAAGTTATAAACAATATTAAATAAAAATAAAATCAAAACATACCTTTAACTTGATATATGTACATAACATCTTTGTAGTTAATTTTTAACAAAGCGAAAAGTTTTTATTACAATGGTGCTGTTAACGAGAATTAATCATGCTCATACTCATACTCGCAGGGCAATTCAGACAAAGGACTTTGCAAGATGAAGCCGGTGTTGGTGCTTTCTAGGGTTATTTTTAAAGCGCGGTCAAAGGCCGTCAATTTACAAAGGTCCTTCGGTTAAGAGTACTGTGCAAGACGAAGCCGTTTTAGCATTTATTTGTTATGTTATTTACTTTCACAAATATTGATAGATCCACATTACAACGTTGAGGAAGCAGTGGAACTTCAGAAAGTGGTGCTTACGTTTTGGCAGATTTCTTTTTCAGTTAAAGAGTTACGAACTTTTTTTTGGAATTGTGGAATGGTGTAGTAACAAAAGCGATTGAAACTTTAAACATCTTGTTGATTATATTTTCAATAAATAGAAAAATATTTTTTGTATCGATTTTTTTTTTGGATTTCAAGCTAATACGTTACAGAGAAGTTCAGCTGCATATGTACATACATATATAATATTATGATAATAAAATAAGTAAAATAGGGTTTTAGCACTCTTGCATTTCTTTCGCATTTTAAACACTGAAACCAGGCTTTTAAAAGCATAAAATACCTGCACATGTAACAAACACAAATGTTATGTACATTAATTATAAATTCCATTTATTTAAAATTAATGCTTTAACATTAATAGTTTCATTTGTCATGATAGTGTAAGTTGAATAATGTAAACAATTAAATGCGATATTAAGTAATTTGAAAAGTAGCACAACTAATATATGTATGTATTCGATTTGCGAAAATGCTTATTTTGCAAGCATTTATGGCTTATATTTTTTGTTTTGGAATTTCAATGCATTAAAATTTTCAATTATTTACAAGCAGAATTTTAGTAGAACATATTAAAAATTTTTATTTAGCGTAAAAATTGGACAATTCACTAAAAAGAATCATAACCCTTGTCTAGAAGTCAAGGAATATTTGAGAACTTCAAAAGCCATCTCTCAGTAATATATACGTCTACTACCCCTAGATGTTATGTTTTTAAAACTCCTGTGTGTTCTCGCGTCATTTCGTACTTAATCCACCAAACTTTATCGAATTGAACATATTTAATAATTTGCGCAGATTTGAATCACGAAGGTTTCCGAGCATGGAACAAAAAGCATTTCAATACTATAAGTTTTAAATTGGTTTGCAAATCGTATAGAATTTCTGTTCATCATATTGCTCGACTTGAAGTTGAAAAATTAATGCATTTCACACCATTTCGCTATATACATACATAAATAAAAAAAATATGGTGAAAGAATTATTTAAATGTAATGAGTGGATTAAATAATACGTTCAATAGGTACTTGATGCCGCGCATTAGATCACGCATTCGAGCATTTAAGGGTGATTTGCGTGCCACGCTTACTGACTTAAGCGTCTTATCGGCACATAACACACATTTCACAGCCAACAACTTTATGCGAGGCTGAGAAGCACCCAAAATGAAATCCTTCCGTTCGTGTAAGCCATTGGCCAACGGTGGTCTGCTATTTTGTAGTGTGCCATAAAATTGAAGACGATCACCAGCCGTCAAGGAACGTGTAAAATTACCGAATTTGTGACTTGCTTGTAGCACAATTTCTGAGCTTTTACTCAACAAGCCTTGTGTTGGCATACGTACACGTATTTCATACTCATAAGAATTCCATTCATGCAATGAGCATTTACCTTGTAATTCACTATGTTCTAGCAGATGGTCTAAATCTAGACAAAATTGCGTTTCCTCTTTCGGACTGCAACGCAATTGTTCACTTAATTTTTTACCGTAAACACAGCGTATCAAGTTACTCAACCAATTCGGCAAATATTTACTTATATATTCAGCACGAATATTGGAAACATGACTGATTTGAGCTTGCGTAGCAGTACCTATCCATGTAACAGCCATACCTTCCAGGTGAGCGCATCGCAATTGCGTTTTGATTTTATTGTTTTGTTCATTAGCGGGTTGCTCGCAAAGTGTATAAAAACGCTGCCAAGTGAGTGCACCAGATATGTGAGGTATGTTGTCATTATCAAGATTCCGCATATTATCCAATCCTGCCTCTACGCTCTCGCTGTTATCAACGCTTTCAATTAGAGATTCATGTTTATCAATCGATATGACATTTCCGAAACGTGGTGAATCTTTAAAATTTGCAGTCATGTAAGGGAATGTAAGTATACATGCTGTTATAATGCAAAGCACCACCTAAGTTAGGAGATTGAAATTAAAATTAACTAAATATTTGATTATCCTCAATCACTTACCTGCAAAATTGTTACATATCTTTGCGTTGTGCGATTCATAGCCAGAAAGCATGAGCCAAGTAATGCAAGTATAGCGGCTATAAGTGCGCTGCCTAAACGTACACCTGGATCAGTAAAGCCCATCCAATCAATTGCCACAAATACAGGAATTAACAGCGATACTAAACCAAATAAAGGCAAAAACAGCAAAATACCGGCTAAACCAAGCGTTGCTCTAACCATACCGAACATAGTGGCACTTTGCGATGTTGTGATGCATAATTGTAGCCAACTCAGTGTGACGCAGTGTGGTATAAGATGTGTGTAGATGCCGTGCCAATTACTCCGTGCTGCTAAATGTATTAGGAAACCGGGTATGAGTAGGTATAAAGCAGTTCGACAGTTCAAGCAGAATTCAATGCCGTTTCCAATGACGAAGGAACAAAATGTAGGTACTTTAAGATCCAAAAAACGCCAGCCGGTAGCAACCACATCATCCATTTCGTAAGGATATTTAGCGAGTACATTGACACCAAACGACACAAGGACAATCCAATCTGGAAATCTGCGTGCTGATGAGTACATAAACACAACAAGCGAAACAAACACGAATATGCACGATACAATGGTTAACTCGGAGTGTGCAAGCCATCCTTTCGCTACTAATGGCGATACCATTAAACTGCCAATGAAAGCACAGAAAAAATACAGATATGGCTTAAGATTATTCTTTAAAAAGAGATTCTCCGAAATATTGGCCTCGACATTGTGATCACCATAACTCAAGAATAGACCAGACCAAATGCGAAAATCTATAAAATCTTGCTTTGTCTTAAGCATTTTGCAAGTAGAGCATATCATAACTGTTAAACAGAGGTAATAAAATCCCACTGGCAAGAATACAGTGAGATTTTCACTTGATGCCAACCAGTATACCGTAAAAAGTAGTGCCATACGTACGCTTGGTGGTATCATTGTAGGAAATGATGCTAATAAATTTACTAGCCGGTGATAAAGTATTGTACAGAAGAGTATTGGATGGAATAATAGCCGGTGAAAACATGGCACATGATCCAATGTTGCAGGGTGAGGTACTGAGATTGTTAAGTCATCATTTACAGCAGGCATACGACCAGCTGCGTAATTGACCGCAGCTGATACTAGATTCTCTTCCGTTATAACACGGCCAGATGCTGTTTGCCTTTCTGTGGAATATGTCGTTACTCGACGTCTATGTTGTCTTTGTCGTGGCCGTCGTGTTGATAAGTTGACATGCCCATTACCAACTGCAGCAGCATCTGTTAATGGCTCATGCTCACTATTCCCATACTCATCTTCGGTTTCCTCTTCCGATGTCGAAGTGGAATAACCATGATGACGTCGTTTCTTCTGAAGATTATAGATCTCCCTCATTTTTCGTTCTAACTGCCGTGGTGTTATATGCTCACTACCATTTGACAAACACGAAAATAATTCACGTGCTGCTTTACGAGCAGCTCTTTCTCCAGGTGTCATTGATAGGCAACAGCGCACTTCCGATTCGTTTTCGGTGGTGATGCCACAGCCTTCGTCGAAGCACTGCCGCAACAGTTTTGTGGCATCTTCATGACCTTGTTGAGAGGCGCGCAGCAACCAATGTATAGCTTGTTGACTTGATGTGGTTTCATTTTGTTCTGCAAAACAGGTTCATTATATAAATTTTCAGTCTTTTCTTATTACCGAAAATATACCAATTGTGTTATCCAGCAACTGTTTAGCCAAGTCATATTGCACATCGGAGCAACCTTCTGCAGCAATGTGATACTTCAAATTGTTCAAGGACGTGCGATCTAGGAAAAATTATAAGCCATTTAAATGAAAGAAATTAAAAATATTCATTTTATTACCTTCCAATTTCCATTTTCTTCTAGTTGAATTACCAGAAGGCTGGTTTTTAGACCAACTCGCCATTTTTTATTTTTTTCAATGTGTATTTCATTTGCACAGCAATAGAAATGCTTTAAACTGTTTATATTCAACAGCTGTTAACAAATATTGATTCTTCTTCTTAGGAAACGAAGTCATTCAAAATTGATACTGTTTCTCTTCTTATTAACAAAGAACGTTCTTTGTTACAGGCGTTAGAATTTACTCAGAAGTTGAGGTGTTGGCAACTCTTATTAGATATTATGCTGTCATCCACATTTCGTTTTCCTACTGGCGGGAAGAGTTTTACGTGAACTATTGTATTTTCTATAAAAATTGAATGATTTGAAGTGAATGCAGTGTATGTTAGGAGTTGTTTAAAAAAATGGATAGATCTTTTCAACAATTTTACCCGGGGATGCCTCGGAACTCCTTTCCAAACCGCATGCGTCCTCCGTCTGTAAGCAGTAGACCGGCTTCACCATCAATGAAAAAGGCAGCGCTTAGCCAAGGGTTTGTTTATATTGCTTGCAAAATACTTTGTTACTATTAATTTTTAAGTTTTATCTTTTTGCAATAGCCGTTTCAGTTTGTCAGCACGCTCAAATCCCTCCATTGTTGGCATTCGATCAGAGTTTAATATGGTAGAAAGTTTCGGATTTCAATTACCGGTAATGGTCAATGAAGCTCTAACTTTCAATGAAAAAAATCAAAATGTGTCAGTACGGTGTGCTCCCAACGGTTGGGCTTGGGTTGGTTATTAACATTGTTATATATATGAAATAATATTCATAAATAAATATTTTATACAACTAGGTAGTACATGGTCGTCGTCTGCTCATTTGGCAATATAAAGACACAAAACGCACGGGTGAAAACACCTCTCCTCGCACTCCTAAAGAATTGTTGCGCGCGCAACAACGTAGAGGTACTGCTATGGCACAATGCCGCGAATTAACTTTACCGCACTGTGATATTGGTCATAAAGCTTCTTTAGTTAGTGTGTTTCTCGGCGAAGGTCAACAAATGGCATCATGTGTGGCAGTTTCACCCACAGGCGATGTGCGCTATTGGCCTTCAATTGCACATGATGGCTCTTCAGTTGACGTTAGTGGAATATTAGATGGGCAAGAATTCGACCAAATACTAAATATGCCCCATCAACAAGGTTATTTATTAGTGACAACTACATGCAGTTTAGTACTGTTACAGCTGCAGTTGGTAAATGGACGGCACGTCATGCAACATAGGACTATACGTCAACCAGCAGGCTTCTTAGGTGGCATAGGAAAAAAGTTTTCAATCATTATGGGCATGAATAGTGGCAGTGATAAGGAAAATGTGAGTAGAGTTGAGAGTAATATTCTTTATTTTTAAATTTACATATTTATTTTCTTTCCTACAGAAATTTGTGGGTATCTCTTGTGAGGCCGGCACAAATGGAGAAGCTTTTATTACTGTTTTGGCTGATCGTTGGTTTCAGCGCTGGCGCTTATCGACTGGCGGTACTGTGGAGCAAATGCTTTATGAGGACATTGATGTAATTCGTAAAATACGTGATGAGTTTCAGCACAAATTCTGGAACGTACGAGGTATGAGCATTTACATTTTATTTTCGTATATAAACCTGAATTGAATAGAAATGTAAATCAAGATATTTCTTTTACTTTAAGACAATCTCGATATAAGCTTACACCTTTTGGATATGCAAATTTCCGATGGCAAAATATTCGTGCTTGGTGGTGCGGTGAACACTGTACATGCGCCACAAATTCACTACGGCGTAGGTATGTTTAAATCAAGTTGTCAAGTTGTCTTCTATGACAATTTATTCATATATACATTTGTACGTATATATTATTTTAATTTTATTATTCAGCCATTATTACATCGGAAAACGAAGGAATGAAATTGCAAAGTTTTATTCCGCTCAAACTTACACAATTTTATAATCTCGGCACCGAAAAGGATTGCTACAATCTACGATTTATTGTCACTCGCACTCATCTCTTTTTCTATACCGACAAGTATATTTACCCTTTGAACTTATCCAATCCGGCAATAGCTGAAATGGAAGCAGAAAAAATCGAGTTTCACTTGCAGGATGATCGTATTTTAAATGCTGCTATCTGTGGACAATTGCCATTATTTTTCAGTCGCACACACGGCTTAGTTTGTGTAACACCAGGCGATTTTGATACATTAGACTTTATGAACTCGTCTTTTGCGATGGTAGGCAACGGTACTACAGCAGCAGATATAAGCAATTTGTCACCCATGGGTGCTGATACAAGTGCATTATTTACCAGCCAAATTAACGAGAGTAATTTATATATGTTCGATTTGGATCCAGATGCTATGTATAATGAGTTTAAGGATGAGGTTAGTCAATTGAAAGCTGCTTTTATTTATCGCCTTAAACATAACAACAACATGTGCAATACAATATTGAATGAATTGCTGCGGAATATGGCAGAAGGACAGACAGGATCTACGGGTGTTGTGGATGCTAACCAATTGGATAGGTATATATTATTATATATATTGCTGTAAATGATATCTAATTTAAAAATTTCCTCATTTTTTCTTACAAATATAGAATTGTTATAACAATTGCCGAAGATTTGGCTGAAGATTTACCAGCTGCAGATCCACGCTGGGAACAATTATGGACAGAGGGTGGTCATAGTAACAAACATGCATTAGGGAGTTCATCTTCCTTGCAGATACTTACACAATTGAAGGAGAAGAGTTTGGCACTTCGCCATTTTGTTGAGTTTCTACACAGCACTGGAATATGGGAAAAGGTACGTACATTAGTTTAGTTGTTGCTGTTGTTCTTGTTGTAACCACAAAATTATTCCCCAAAGTACTTTTTGGGGAATGTTGCGGTAGTGACAGTCCTTGGCCGGATAAAAATCCGGGTCGTTCCGGTATAGAGGCCGACTGTCGCGGGAACTATTGGATTTTAGTCGCCTCTTACGACAGGCATGCCTTACCGCGGGTAAATTCTTGAGCCCCTAACCCGCAGGGGGCTTTTCTATAAATGATTTTGAAACTCATTTGTGGAAATGTTCAATACCAAAAACTAAGGCCAGAACACTCAGAATTGGCTGTAAAATACTTTGTAACAAATATATATTGGGTTGCCCCAAAAGAAACCGCCGATTGACAATTTTTTTTTTGAACAGCTTGTGACTATTTAACAGTTATAAGCTGTTGCTTTTAGCTCTCTTTAGAAAAAAAGTACGCACATTTTTTTTTTTTTTTGGTGTCAATTTTAATATGAACTTTACAAAAAACATTATCGCCGTTTTTTACTTTATTATTCCCTTAAAAATGCAGCGCTGTATGGTGATAAGGCCTTAAGAGAAACTCAGTATCGCAGTGGGTTCGTCAAGTTCCGTTCGAGAGATTTCCCAATCAAAGATAAGCCACGTTCAGGTCGGTCAAGTGAATTTGATGTTGACGATCAAGGCTTTAATCGAAACGAATCGTCATGTAACTGAGCGTGAGTCTAGAGAGAAGTTAAGTATATTAAAATAAACCGGTCATAATCATAAAGGAAGTCTTAGACTGGTAAAAAACTTGATAATCAACGCTTGAATATGGTACGTTTTTGAAGAAAATCATAACTGGAGATGAAAAATGGAGGGTATACCACACCCTGCTGCTTTCGAGAACGATTAATTCGGATGTCTACTGTGAACAACTGGACAAATTGAAAACATTCATCAATGAGAAGCGGTTACAATTGGTAAGTCGTAAAGGTGTCATATTCTACCAGGACAATACTAGACCGCACACATCATTATTCACTCTCCAAAAACTGAGAGAGCTAGGCTGGGAACTGCTGCTGCATCCACCATATAGCCCTGACCCTGCATCGTTTTTCGATCTTTGCAGAACTCATTAAATGGTTAAGCTTTCGAAAATGATACCGCTATAAAATAGTACTTGGTTCAGTTTTTTGCAGATAAAGGCCAGAAGTTCAATGAGCGTGGAAAATTAATGTTGTCGCAAAGAAAAGGCCATTCATCAAAGTGGAAATTACATAATTGATTAAAGTTCATTATAGAATTCAAAAAAATGTATTTACTTTTTTTTTAAACTCCGGTTTCTTTTGAGGCAACCAAATATAAACACACATTTAACATTAAAAAAAAAATTATTTATTTCATTCAAAACTTCATTTCAGCTCGACGCTGTACCTAGTGGCGGCGGTAGCGTATTGAAGCCTACTTGCTATATATTAGCTGATATAAATGAAAAACTCGTTGGAGCTATAGCTTTGAGAAGCATACAAAACAAGTAAATGAAAAATTCCATATATTATAATTATGAAAACATCAAATTAAAAAAAAAAAAAACTATTTTACTTAGATATGGAAAAGTTATCGATGAAGCTATAAATCGTGTAGTTTCAACTTGGCAGGAGAATCCTCAAGGTAATTTAACCGCACAGGATATATTCTACGTACGAATATGCAAGTTTCAGGAGGTTTTCCAAGCACTTGCCGATTTTGTAGACAACCGCATTGAATCACAGCAGCAGACCACAACGTTAGCCAGTCTCATAAGTGATGTTAATAGTATAATCCTACACGTTATAACTGAGGTCCACACTAGTCGCGAACGGAATTCCTCGTTATTTACACTGCCAGAAGAGAAAGAAAATAAATATGAATACTTACCATGGTCAGCAATGTCGGGTAGTGTGGGCATACGTGACACATTGTCACATCTTATTGATGTTTCGGTTCGTTACGGCACACATTGCACCAGCGAGCCAGAATTGAAGCAACGTTTATATAAGCAAATATATGAGATTATCGATCACATTTTGGATGGTCGCAAAAATTATCTAGATAGTGTACGCGATATGGAGAAGTGCAACGTTTTGGTACAACAGTTCGAATCGCAGCGACGTGAATTAATATCAATTTTGAGTAAGCTATTGTGTCTCAATACCGATCTGTTTATGCTGAATAAATTTTTTTTTTTAATTATTTTTGATTTCAGTCGATGACGAACAGTACGAATACGCTGCAAAGTTAGCCGAAAAACATCTCGATTTTCAAAGTTTGGTTATTATTTGTGATGAAACGAAGAACCAAGATCGCTTGGATGGTTACATAAAGAAGTATGAAGAATATGACTTTTCACAATTCGCCATAAATTGGCATTTGCGTCAGAACCGTCAGGGTGAAGTTTTCGAACGTTTTAAGGGTAATCAGGCAGCGTTATCTCAGTTTATGCGTGATCATCCAACTCTTGGCTGGATACAATTGGTCTTCAATGGCGATTTTGAGCGTGCAGCAAAGATACTGCTACAATTGGCTCAAAACGAGACCGAATTTGTGCAAAGAAAGAAAGTATGTTGCACAGAAGAAAAAAAATCAAGTACAAACTACTACATATATTGGATTATTTCTATTCCTTTTGTTTGTAGGCCATGCTTTCTCTAGCTAAATTAGCAGCATTCGCTTCTACTGACTCTGATTTGGGCATACAATTGGAGAGTATCAATGCTGAATTGAATATAATTGATTATCAGGAACAACTAAGTGAGGCTTTAATGATAAATTTCGGCTACGATGTAGAGAATCCCAAAGTACTCAAAGTGGAGGAAATTATAAATGTACGTGCGTACACACATATATATATATATATATAAACTTATTAAGTTATTTTCTACTTGATTATCGCCAGCTTTTCATTTCCGAGGAAAACGAAACAGCTAATGAATTTGAATTCCGTAAAGCACTAGAGGTGCTCAATTATCTAGATGAGCCATATGATGTGAGGCATAAAATTTGGTGTGCGGCGATCATGCGCGATAATTGGACCGACTACGATACGAACAATGCTGTGGACTATCTGCAGAATCTGATCTTTTTCAAATTAGTCGAAGTGTGCCATTTAATGGGTGAGCTAATTACATATTGCAATTGCACATTTAATATTGAGTATAAGCCGATTGTTTTTTTCTTGTTTTAGAGGGCGATTGCGAAACATTTCTTCCACCAATTGAAGATTTCTTAAATAGTCATGAACTCGGCGATTTAGTGCAAAACACATCGTTTCAATATCTATTTAAGTTAACTTATGAATATATATCAGATGCATTTAAAAAACCAACTGAAACAAGCATGGAGTTGTGAACAGTATGTTAGTGCTTAGGGGTTATTTATGTAACTTTGTTTAAAAAAAATACACGTTTTTAAGATTCCATAAACATACTGATGTCATCAGATCTGGGTAGTCAATAAGCGCATTTTTAAAATTTTTTTTTTTGAATAATTCAATTATTGAATTCAGATCAGAAACAAAGTCGAGCAGCTGTATTTATGGACTATACTTGTATATGCCATTGTTATCGCGTCATAAGTGTGGTATTTGCCCCCTTTTTTTTAAACCACTGCCTTTTTATTTTTCCTCATTTGCAAATTGTTGGAATATGTGTATGTGCGGTTTTTTAATTGTCGTGTGAAAAATTCATATTTTATTCAGATAAAAATGATTAAAATTCAATATTGCATTATCATGTAAAAGGAAATTGGGTTTGATAAAAACCAGAAAACTTAAACTTTTTCATTTCATTAAAGTGGTTAGCATTGCGAACTGACATTTGGAAGGCTCGGGTTCTAGAAAATTAATTTAAATAAAAATCTAAGTTAAATTTTCTAATTGCGGTCGCCCTCCGAGTGTATTTCTGACATAAAATAAAGGTCTCCGTCCGGAGGCGACTTAGTATAAGCTGTAGGTTCCTCCATTTTGTTGGAAAAACATAGAGACGCATAACCACAAATTGGAGGAGGAGCTCGGCGAAAAATCGCTTCAGCGGTTACAAAGCGCGAATTATATATATAATGAGTAGCAGTCGTCCATTCCGCTTTTAAAGTCCTCCAAAAACAATTTTATTTGTATATCTAGTGTTGTTGTTGAAGCGGCCATCCAACTCTGCTAAGCAGCTGGCGCGACTAACCGTATCTCAGGAAAGTGAAAGCGGGAGTTAGGCGAGTAGGTTTTAAGTGCTTGGTCACATTGCTTGCAGGGCATATGTTGGCCATGTCGACGTTAAGCATAGATCTTAATTGTGCCAGTACTACTCGGGGTGTATCGAAGTGGGTGGTGCTTGATTTCTGCGAACGACGTGCACTGGAATTGTGTTCTAGAAGGCCTCAACGGACTCTTAATGAATGGCGCTTAAAGTTTATTAGTACGCCACTTTGTCCAGCTGTTATGGTTATTCCCTTCCTGATTTGTCTAGGCGGATGTTGAGACTCAAGTAAGTGGTTGTTGGAGTGCTCCTGATGGTAGCATCACGACGTGTACAGTAACGGTACTAAAGGCAGCGTCTCACTAGTCTCTGAAGTCCTCATTGAAGCAGCGTAATTTATGACCAGCCGGCCGGTTGGGTTGTTCGAGTTCGAGTCGGTACTCTTTCGTTCAGCTGGTGAAAAGGGCATCCGAGGCTTTTGCAGACTGTAGTTGTCGTGCAGTTGAGAAGTGTGAGAGGTCAGCGAGATAGCTGGTTAAGATTGGATTTGAATGTGAAAACTACTCATTTAATTCTTGCTTACTTAATTTTTTGGCGTAAACACCGCTTACGAGATACTCACACCAAGTAGCACCTGTTGGCAGGAGTAATTCTGCGCTGGATTTCCACAGAGATCCGTCCCTGTTCCTGGTGGAGTTTTTTAAAGTCAGTTTACATATAAGTTTTGCTGGGATACCAAATTCATACATAGCGGCGTAAAGGCAGCTCCTTTTCGTGCTATCAAAGGCTTGTTTAAAATCGACGAAGAAGTGGTGTGTGTCGATCCTCTTTCCACGGGTCTTTTCCAAGACGCATGGTGAATATCTGGTTAATGGTTGATGATCCAATCAAATTGTTGACGTTTTAGACTTTCATGCAATACGCTCGAAAGCACCTTATATGCGATATAAAGGAGGATTTTTCAAGGTAATTGGTGCAGACTGTGGACCCCCTCTTTTTCATGGATTGAGCAGAGACCACTTAGATTCCAATCGTCGGCCATGCTTTCGTCCGTATATATTTTGCAAAGCAGCTGATGCATGCACCTTGTCAGTTCTTCGTCGCCATATTTAAATAGCTCCGTCAGTAGGCCGTCAGTTCCAGCCGCTTTGTTGTTCCTTAGCCGGGAAATCGCTCTTCGAACCTCGTCACAGTCGGGTAGTGGAACGTCTTTTCCATTTTTATCGATTGGGATTTCGGGTTCACCACCGCCGGGTGTTACACTGTCATTCAGCAGGCTGAAGAAGTGTTTCCCCCACTTCGCCATCACCGGATGACCTCCCTGAGTCCAATAAGAGTTTGCTCCGATCTTGAAATCTTCTGTAAGCCGTTGTATCTTTTCATAGAATTCTCCAGCATTACAGTTGTCGGGCAGCTTCTCAAGCTCTTCATACTTACACATTTCGGTCTCTTCAGCTCTCGATATCTCTGTCTCTCTTCATTGCCGAAAACCAATTGTGTCCGTAGCGGCGGTATGTTGGGAGTTTGAGATGCCGTTCCTCGGTTCATTTATATCAAGTTGCTGATGAGTGCTCTCGGAAAGCAGGTGTGTAAGCCGTGTGGAAAACTGTTCGGCTGTTTGTTGACGGGCGTTCTTTGATACACAGAGACGGGTGCGTATCTTCGCTGGTCCGCCTAATTTAACTCAGGCACATTTGATTATATGTCCGTGCATTTGTAAGAAAGTTACGTACATATATGTATAAACTTATTATAAAATGAGATGCACAATGGCCGTTACCGTTAAAAACCATATAAAAACAACTTGTAAACTCATTCGTTTTTAGCACATAACCTTAAAATTTATGGAATCGACAAATATGTATGTATGTATGTATGTGCTTAATATACATGAGCATTACAGTACGATCGTATATGCATATAAATACATAGTATATAAGTAAATATGCAAATATTATTACTAAATCGTTTAGATAAGAAAATATCACATAATCGGTGCGCATCAATCAATGAAAGAGCAAAAGCGCAATATAGCCGCATACACACACATACAAGCACACATATGTATGTACATATATGGATGCATGATACAGGCTTTGCCACATACATACAAAGCTTGAGATTTAGTTGCAAAGGCTAAAACATTTTTTTTATAAACAAACATACACACATATATATATGTACATACTTATGTATGCACATCTCCATAATTTCCATATTTGCCATTCAGTCTGTCTGCGCCTCTCCAGTTAGTCTAATCACTTTGTAATCGGTAGCTGAAGCCCTACAACTGCATGCGCAAATTCCAATCGCAACTCAATGCCCAACTACTCCGGCTTAGTAGTTGCCCGGACGGTGGCGAGTGCAGCATTGCGTCGGTGCTCTGTCTATTAAGCAAACAAATCGAAGTGGTCATTTTGAGCAATCAGTGTTTTTCTTTCGAAAGTCTTAAATAAAGAAATTGATTTTTATTTCTTGGCACTTCCATCTCCTCACTTTAGCCGTTTTTTTTGGTATTTTTAAATCAAGTAAATAAGTGTTCAAAAGTACTTTTCGCTTTTCACCGTTAAATTATTTTCTGATGTGCCGACATGGCAGAAGAAACCACACCGTTAACCGCTGGAATGTCGCCGCCCATTGGGCCTGCATATGTCTTCCCAGGCGGTGTGTCGCCACGATCGCGGCGTAATCGGAAAATGCAACAATTTCAGTGTTGTCTAGGCATAACCGTTGTGTGAGTTAATTTATATTCGTGTGAAATATGAAACCTTTGCGGAATTAATCCGTTATTTTGTGAACAAATCGAAGAGGTTAACTTTGTGGCGGAGTCTACAAGACACCAGTTTTGCACATGAGTTTTGTATGTATGTCGGCGTTGTTTTCTAAGACATGCGGCTCTATTATTATATATAGATAAGGGTTATGTTTTAAAAATAAGTACGGACAAGTGAAAGCCGCCCCTGGCTGCAAGAGGTTAAAGCCCGCTGCCCAATTTTCGACCATTCTTTTCAGCAATTAGTCTGTATGTCACCAATAGGCGTCGAATATTCTGTTCCAAGCTGTCAAATGCTGCGAGCTTATCAGCATAGACAGGCGACTTTTCATAATTCTCAAAAAAGTACTTTAGCAATATTAAATCGCACGATATTGGAGGCCTCGCCGCGAGGTAATGCGCTTATCAAAAGTTGGCTCCAATAAAATGATTGATTGATTAGACTGGCTGCATGGCATGTAGCGCTGCCTTGTTTGAATCAAAGGTCAAGCACATCATCCCCTTCAATCCCCTGCAGAAAAAAGTTGCTAATCATAGCTCCATATCATTCCCAGTTGACTGTAACATTATGGCTTAAGAAATACGGTATAATGATTCTACCTGTCCATAGAAGAATCCTCTGTGGAGGATATAGTCCGGTGGAAAAGTTTGTTCATCACTTTGGCTGGATCCCTTCCAAAACTTACCTTGACTGTTAGTTTTTATCCTCGACCAAATATTATTAAAAGTCTCTAATGCAAATTCTTTATGCTTAAAGGCTTCAAGAACGTCTCGTTGCTGTGACTTTGCTGAGAGATGATTCAAATTATAAAGCCCACATATATATATATATATATGTTCACCATAACACTGAAAATGTTGAGAGTTAGTCTCCAACCGTCCTATCGAACGAACAACCAATAGTCTAGCGTTCTTTAATTTTATTCAAAGGCCACCCAATTACACCAAAGCTGAAGCTTAAAAGATGTACCAAGAATGGTGGTTGAGGGAGAACGTATGTATTTATTTATTTAACTTTTGTTTCTCTTCTCCTAGACTAATTATTATTGCTGCCTTACTTGCCGCATATGTGCTTGTCGAAGAAACCCAAGAGCCCTCACCGCCCATACTTCTCGTGGCAGCGACAATAAATGATACCAATCCCTCAAAGAAAAATGCGGAAGCAAGCGCCGCACTTGAAGCCGCAACAACGCCGTTGTCCGATGAACCGACTACAGAATGGGCGCTAAAGCAGGCGCACATAAGCCACACACAAAGCGAGCAAGCGGTGAATGCCGGTATCAAAGCATTAGGTGACCGTGAAATTTTAGAGGAGAGTCAACAGCTGACGCCGGTACACAGTGCCGCCTTCCGACATTACCGTTCGCTGAGCACAGGGCCAGAGGCGCGCAAGTTGTCACGTCGTGGCTATGTGGAGAATCAAGCCACTAAGCATATTGCGGAAATGTTGAATTATACGAAACCGAGTGGACGAAACAATATCGGTAATGGGCCGACAATTACGTTGCCCGATCCGACAATGAACTTCACATGCGATTTCAATGCACGCTATCGGACGGCCAGCGGTGTATGCAACAATAAAGCGCATCCTCGGTTGTACGGCGCGGCTATGATTCCCTACAGACGCATGGTGGCGCCCGATTATGCGGATGGTATTTCATTGCCGCGCGTTAGTCACGCTGGCAATGGTACACAGCTGCCGCCGGCACGCAAAGTATCCTTGGATATACATCGCGCTTCCTATAATACCGATACAAATTTTACGGTTATGTTGGCAGTTTTTGGACAATTCCTAGATCATGACATAACAGCCACTTCGCTGTCATCCTTGCCGGAGGGTGAGTCGATCGATTGTTGTGCAGTGACTTCGTTAACTATGCATCCGGAGTGTTTTCCAGTGCCTATATTGCCGGATGATCCGTATTATCAGCGTTACAATGTAACTTGCTTGAATTTTGTGCGTTCTACGCCAGCGCCGACCGGACATTTCGGACCACGTCAACAGCTCAACCAAGCAACAGCCTTCATCGATGCCTCGGTAGTATATGGCAGCTCGGAGCAAAGACAACGCCATTTGCGAACGATGTTGAACGGTACAATGCGTATGTATATCACCGACGATGGTAGGGAGCTGTTGCCGTTATCTACAAATTTGGAAGATGGGTGCAATCGCGGCGAAATGGCCAGAGAGGGCAAGTATTGCTTTGAGTCTGGTGACGACCGCGCTAATGAGAATTTGCTTCTCACCTCCATGCATTTGCTATGGGCACGTCATCATAATTATTTGGCACGAGGCCTGCAAGCAGTAAATCCTCATTGGGATGACGAGACAATCTTTCAGGAATCGCGAAAAATTCTAAGCGCTAAAATTGCACACATAACTTACAATGAGTTCTTGCCTATTCTGGTTGGACCGAAGTTGGCCAAGAGAAAGGGTCTATTACCGAGCACAGACGACTTGGACGCGCCGGACACTTACAATAAAAACGTAGATCCAAGTATAGCGAATTGCTTTGCCGGTGCTGCTTTCAGATTTGCTCACACGCTTTTGCCGGTGAGTCTTGGGTAACAAAGATTTCGTGACGAATATAATTTTCGATTTACTTTCAGGGCGTACTTAATGCAACCAATGACCGCAGCGTGCCGGAATCTATTGAGTTGCATACAATGCTCTTTAATCCCTTCTCACTTTGGTCGGCACACGGCATAGATCGTGCGCTCACCACCGCTAGCAATACTGCTGTACTGCGTGTCAATCGTTTCTTCTCATATGAAGTAACACAGAAACTATTCGAAAGCAATGACGGCGACGGATCGATAAAACCAAATTGTGGGCTTGATCTTGTTTCGTTGAACATACAGCGTGGACGTGATCATGGACTACCCGCCTATCCTGTATTCCGCAAACATTGTAAACTGCCACCGACGGATACGTGGGAGGAAATGGCAACTGCAGTGGATGCCAAATCTTTGCAGTCAATACGACAAATCTACAGGTATGAATGTGAAATTGCGGAAAAATGGCTTAGCTTAACGCTGACAGTTCACTTTTAGTTCACCCCATGATGTTGACGTTTACACGGGTGCTTTGAGTGAACCTCCACTCGATGGTGCCATCTTTGGATCATTACTCACGTGTTTAGTATCGGATCAATTTATGAGGCTGAAGAGAGGAGACTCCCATTGGTATGAACGGAAGATGGGGCCACAGCGTTTCACGAAAGGTAAAAAGTAGAAGAATAGTTCTAATAGCTGTGAATTGTCAATGGTTTTCAGTCATAAAATTGATTGGAGGGAGAAAGGTTTTAAACATGGTCATATGAGATTGTGTTGATAAGTTCTCTGTGAGCTTAAATTTTAGAAATTTTGAGCTGTCAAATGAATCAACGCAGATACCTCATCAGAGCAAACTAATTGCTTTAGCACTTGGCTTTAGAAAGTAGACAATTAAGAACAAAGTGCCTAAGATCACTCCACCTCCTACGGTGGTATTGATTTCAGAGATCAAACATCTGCCTCTATTTTGTACCTACCCATAGCGCTCTGCCTCCCCCAGTTCCGCTGGTAGTACTCATAATAATATTTGCGTTAAATTTAGCTTCCCGCACTCTATTTGAAGCCGTCAAAGTTTGTTTTTGTAGAGCACTTAGTTTGACGTTGTCTTTTGAAAACAATGTTAATTTAATTTTCTAGTTTTTGGCACCTTTGATCGCTTGCGTGAAGATTATGAAAGTCAAAACATTTACAGCAGATGTATCCTTTGGCTAACATCTACACCTCCGCAACAGATTAAAGTGTGTCCAAGTTCGCCATTCATTCCTCCACTTGGTCCGTTCAACCGCTGGCAGTTTGGGCAGAACATCTTAGGTTCCAATCTTCGGACATTATAATAGCAAACTCAGAATAAAAAATCAAACCTCCGATGCCGTAAAAAAGGTTTGGCGAAGACTATTCTATACATCTTAAAAGTGATCCAAAAAATTCTGCAATACTCCCATTTGTCGACCAGTTATCAAGTTTTTCTTGTAATCCTTTCGAGTATTTTTTATCGACACTTTAGATCAGGGCTCACAGTATAAGATGAGACACAGCTTTTTGCTTTCTTATTATGGCTACCATATTTTTGCTCTATCAGCTATCTGCAGACGGATTCCTTCCGTCGGGAATGAGGTACCTTCTCGAAATTTTTATTGCTTAGTAAAGAACACAAGTACCGCTTTGCTAGAGCAGGAAATACGGGATTTACTCCGACTCGCTTTCAGAGCGGATACAAGGAGGATCTCTGCATCGTCAGATAAACGTATCGAGAGAAGAAATCTGAGTGATTCCTCTAGCTTAGGTGAGACTGGTTGGATTCTTTGAGAAGTCGAAGTTTCAAATACCACCAAGACACTGTATTGTTACACCTCCTGCTGTTCTTTTAGTAAATTGAGGTATTCATTTTGGGACTTTGTCTCTTGTCGATTGGAGATCCATCAGTTTAGGCTCGCCAAGTATTATCAGTCTCTGTCTGCTGAGCATCAGACACTCATAATTTTGTCCGTTTCTCAGCAAAATGCTCTAACGAAGACAAAAGCGCTTGTAGATTTTTAACTTAGTTTTCTAAGATTTCTAGCCACATGTCGGAGTCTGCACCGATGAAATTTAAATGCGAATGCGAAGCTGTCACAAGAAGCAGACGAAAGCACCTAAGATTTATTCAGCCGGGGCATAATCACATCAAAGCAATCAGCCCCTTCAGTCTGATAGGTTTTATAAGGGCACTAGATATGGTTGAAATAATTTGAAGAAATCGGAGGGCACAATAGATCACTGGTCGCGGTGCATATCCTCCTTTCAAATCTTATTTTATCCGGTAGACTAAAAAGATGCTCTAAAATATGCTACCAACTTAGAGGTTATAGTCAAAAGAGAAAAGTAAAATGCATTTTCTTATGTAGAATTTCGCTTAATCTAAGCCTCTTTTTCTTTTCTTTGTTTTCTCTTTGTATATATCCCTTCCCCTCTTTCTCTCTCTCTCTCTCTTAATGCTGCCATCTCCCATCTTATCCAAAATTTCAGCTCAACTTGAGGAAATCTACAAAGTCACTTTATCAAAGATCATCTGTCTTAATTCCGATGGCGTACAACAGGTGAGGACATACGTAATGGAGCAGCGCAAGGGCGAAGGAAATGGTTATGTTAATTGTAGTGAGGCCGAGCGATTTAACTTTAGCGCTTGGGCTACATCGTCACGCCCAGTGAAATTACACAGCGTCGCCGTTAGTGAAGCGAAAAGTTTGATACGTATTATTCATGGGAAGACAACTTCAACAACAACGAAAACAACAACAACAACAACAACAAAAACAACAACAACAACAACAACAACAACAACAACACCAAGGACGGAACCGAGTGCGCAAACTGGCAATAATGTTTGAGATTAAAATATTTTTAATTTTTTTTTTTTACTGAGGATTTTTATTATGCTCATATAACACATGTATATGCATGTATTTCATATAAGATTTTGTAATTAGAATATTAAGCAAACTACATACATACATACATATGTTCTACTTACATATTTTTATTTATAGTCTATTTTCTAATGCAACAATAAATACACGGTGTGTAGTGAATTCCCATTAAATGGAAGAATATTGCATTTATACCTACACGTATGTACATATATATGAATATGAGTATATATTATAAGTATGATTACGTTTCTCTGATCTCCTGCGGTTCTTCAAAGTTAAGCGATTGAAATTAAATTTAACTGATAAGCTCATATGTACATACATATATGCATACATTACAAAATACTCCGAGGCTTGCATTTATATTTCGGGATTAAAGAACGTAGCCAAATATTGATCACCGAAAATCGCTTTATTGTTTTTCAAAATATTCTCCATTCAATTTTTTTTTCAACATTGGTATTTATTTACTGATCTACTTCAATATCAGCAGCCTCATAATACGTTCTCAAATCTTAAAAATTATAACATAATAGCCCATTGGCTGGGTTGCTCCTTCCAAGTCCCTTCTCTTCAGGCGCTATACTGGACTCCATACATCCAAATCGGTTTTATAGTCGCATTAATTCAATTTAATTTTCAAGGCTGAGCCCAGATTTCTTGCTTTAGGCCGGATTCCTCCAAAATAGGTGTTTTTTTAATGAAATTCAATTTATTCTTTTAGAAAAATTTTTAAATCAAAGTTTATGATCATGATAAGTAGACGTAAAAAATATTGATTGAATTTTATTTTATTTTTTAAATGGGGGCTCTTAAAATTGCTGCTCTGAAACACGTCTCTTTAGTTGGTGAGTGACATGATAACTGTAAAACGAATCATCTGAAACCTAAAACCAAAACGGTTTTTTATTTTGTATCATATCGGCTATGACCGTAGCTACGATGAAACATTTTCAGCACAAAAAAAATGACGGACTTTTTAATTTTTTTAACCTTTTTTCTAATTTTAAGTGTTTATAAATTTTTTAAATGACAATGAATATTTCGGGTTGTAGTACTAACCATAGAGAGGCATTTTAGGAATAAAATACAGTGTAGTTCATGTTGATAAGTTCAATTGGTTCTAAATCGGAATGTCATCTGATTGAATAAACGTGGCTTCGAGAAAAAGGTGATTAAAGTTTTTGTTCGTGAGAATTTACCGCTTGGCGCGCCTCGCTCTCCCCTTTTCTATACTAACTTCTTGATCTTGCGGACCTGCGGGACTAAGTCTATATACTAAGTCTAAAGTAAAAGTAGAAGTAAAAATGATGTGTCTGAACTTATTTTCTTAACTTTTATACGCCATTTTGCTAGCCATTCTTCAATTAGTTTAAAGTGCTGCTCTAAAACTTTTGTGGCTGTAATGGGGCATTTATGTCGACTTAATATATCAAAAGTTGATCTGATTACTTCGTCACGTGTAGGAATGTCTGCGGTGAACAAATTATACAATATTAAACCAAGAACACTAAGTCGAAGCTTTTTTGCCACTCCAACTGAGATATCCGAACGCAATCGCCTCTTCGGGTGTCGAAAAATGTAGACCACTCAATTTATTTTTAAATTGCGGGAATAAAATTAAGTCATTCGGCACCAAGTCAGGAATATACGGTGGATGACTCATCAAATCGATGTTTACAGTACTCAAAACTGCAATTGTTTCAGCCGATATGTGAGTGCTCGCAGTGTCGTGTTGATGAGTGATCCGTCTTCGGCAATTGGTTTTCCTGTTCTCTTGAAAGACGAAATACAACTGGCAAGCAAAAGGTTGTGCACCAATCAGAATTTACTTTTCTGCGTTAGTTGGAGCCAGTTTTTCCCAAAAAAAAGGGCAATCATTTGCTTAGAAGTGTTAACAACTTCAAACATCCATGCCAGTCGACTGCTGTTTACTTTCGGACTCATACGCGTAAATCCACGATTGATAAGCTGTTACTATGTCATTGGAACCATAAAGGAAAGCACAGCCTCATAGACTCACTTGGAAGGACAGTGTAGTTGATACCGGATTCAATAACGAGTTTGGGTGTGGTTTATTTCTAAAACAGTTTTAATGAATTTACAATAAAATAAAATGATATAAAAGAAGCCTCAAATACTTACCGCTCTGTGCCTTTTCGGTAGTCCATTAACGAATGAACTTATTTAAAAACGAACGACTTAAATACGGCGGGCGGATTCGCCTTAGTACAAAACGAAAAGAATAATAAGGGGAAAAACACATAGCGGCAAGTTTACAATATGGCCAGACTGGTTCAAATAGTTTTCATAATTCAAATATAAGGTGGCGTACTGAGACATCACTTAAATATAAGGTGGCATTCTGGGACAGACAACTATTCTGATTTTTAGCGTTTCTCTCGATCAAGCTTTCGTTTTGAGCCATTGATAAAAAACAATTTTTTTTACAGCCAAATGCCTCTGCAAATATGAAATTTATACCGGTCTCACTAATGCTATCTGGCAATATCAGTTTGCGCACAGCATCAATTGCTTACGGAATAACAACTCTTCTTCATTTGAATTCATTCATTGATAAACACTGATTACTGATGGTGCTTCATTGCCAAAAGTGAAGTTAAGTTCTTTGCCGAGATGAATATTTTAAGTCATTGGAAACAACACAAATAGCGTACTCGTATGTCAAAATGTTCAGTTTATGTCTGACATCAAAGACGTGAAATTTTTCGTAAAGCTACCAGTTGTCAGATTGCTATGCTAGGGTTGCCAAATCCCGAAATATAAAATGCAACCCTCGTATAGTGATCATTAGTGCAACTATTGCAAAAAATATATATATACATACAGAAAAATTATTGAAATAACCTGATAACCTTTAATTTGGATTCGATTATTGAATTGAAAAAAAGTGTAATATTTTTTTGGGGTTGCAAGAGCTTTCAAAAATAAAAAAAGGAAAAATCGCATAAATTAAGAAGTTTTTGGAGGAGTCTTAGTATGGGTATCTATGCTTTAGTAACAGATTTAACAACTAAGTCAGTGAGAAGTCTATAGGTCCTTGCAACATTTACGAGATGTGTTCAAAAAATTTCGCGAATTTTGTGTTTTTTCAAAAATAATTATTTATTCATGAATATCTATTTTGTTCCCTTCAAAGTAATCCCCATGAGATATTATACACTTGTGCCAACGGTTTTTCCAGTCTTCGAAGCACTTCAGAAAATATTTTTTCTATTTTGTTCAGCTCCTCCTTCGTTGCCGTCTTTATCTCGTCAATCGTAGCGTAACGTCGTCCTTTCATGGGCCTCTTCAGTTCAGGGAACAAGAAAAAGTCACAAAGGGCCAGATCTGGGGAATACGGTGGCTGCGGCATCATTAGTGTGTTGTTTTTGGCCAAAAAGTCGCGCACAGCAGGGGCGTTATCGTGGTGCAAAAGCCAATTTTTGTTCTTCCACAAATCCGGGCGTTTCTGTCGGATTGCTTCGCGCAAATTGCGCATAACTTGCAGGTAATTTTCCTTATTGACCGTTCTTCCCTGTGGCAATACCATTTTCTCTACTTCATTAATTTTTTCGTCTGTTTCTGAACTGCTCGGGCGTCCGGCACGCTCTTCGTCGTTCACATCTTCTCGGCCTTCTGAGAACATTTTGTACCACCGGTAAACGTTGCTTCGGTCCAAGGTAACTTCTCCGTATGCCACAGTCAACATTCGGAATGCATCCGCGCACTTAATTTCGCTTTTCACACAAAATTTGATACAGGTTCGTTGATCCATTTTTTTGAATAGGTAAAAATCGAAGACCATCCAAAACACGTGCAAGCAAAGCAGCTGTCAACAATTAAGTGAACATTCAAAATGGCCGACCTTGTCGGCATAAGTTACAGACATAAGTACCAACATAACGCCACAAAAAAATCGAAATTCGATTATATGTAACCCGCGAAAATTCAAAATTCGCGATACTTTTTGAACACAACTCGTACTACAGCGCAAATTTGGTGATGGAAGATACTCCGTCGCCGAGTGCTGGCATTCACCCCGTAGATGAACATCTCACCACAATCCGTTTTCATTTATATCACTATTTTACACACATGCTCCGATGAAAGGATACCTTTAATGAGCGCATAAAGCCTCATTATGAGCGCTGTCTCCGCCACCATGACAAAACTTTGTTTGGCGACTTCAACTGTCGGAAAATTCAGCTTTCACAATGCAATATCCGCGAATGGGTTGTGGTTCTTGGACTTTTGAAATTCATGAAGATCAAAACAATCACAACCATATCGATAAATTTGTGATATACGGGTGTAGCCAGTGTTCTTGACGTGCGTACACTCCGGGAAACCAACATCGACTCGGACAACAATTTTGTAGCAGTGAAAATACGCACCCGCCTCGTAGCAGCGAAGAACGCAAGTTAGCAAAAACAAGGGAGATTCGATGCCTGCCAAACGATTATCTACGCGACTTGCTTTCCTTTCCTCTGAAAGCACACAGAGCACTCTTGTACCATGAGAACTGCAGTGCAGCATTGGATCGAAAACCGGCTAAGAAACCTCATAACGTTAAGATCGATCGCTACACGTGCAGAATGGTGTAGATACCGAGAATTTAAGAGAGAAGCAAGATACATGTGTACACAAAAATAAGGGCTGAGATGAGAGAGCGTGAAGACTTTGAAAAGCGACGGCGACTTAAGAAAGGTTTCAAAGCCGGAGGAAGCTATTGTAATATTCAAATATTTAATTAGTAATGCGAAGAACTTATGAGGTTCATGTATCTGCTTCTTTCTCAAATATGGTCGCGTTACCCAATGCCAAAAATGACATCCCACAATCTTTGTCAATTTTCATGGGATATATGTATATAATTGGCGTTTTGTAACCGCTGAAGCGATTTGCGGCCGAGCTCCTCCTTCAATTTGTGGTTTGATATTTTTCCAAAAAATGGAGCGACCTATAGTTTATACTAAGCCGCCTCCGAACGACTGACGGTTTTTTATGGGAAGCTTTATTTCATATCAGAAGTGCACTCGGAGGGCTTGACATTCCCTGGCGAGGGGCGACCGCAATTAGAAAATTTAAATTGATTTTTTATATTAATTAAATTTTTTGTAATTTTCTTGGAAGTTGGGACGACACCAGGATAAGTTCGGGTAAGAGATCCTATCAGCGTATTATTGGTGAGAGGCTGAAGTCCACCATCAATGAATTACCATCAACATTATCCGTGTGGCCTCACGATTCACCAGATACTCACCATGTCTCTTGAAAAAATGATCAACACAGTAAGGAGTACTCTCTATACCAATTTTTCTTCGCAAAATTTATGGATTTGTATACTGAGCAGAATTAAAGGCTCCGTTAGCATCAGCAAAGATCTTTCAGAGCTGTTCGAAACCAAATTTAATGCTGAACAAATAAGACCACATCTCGTGACGAATGTGACAACTAAGTAATGAGACTGATTATATTGCCGCGATCTTGTAATTTTCTTTCCTTTCTCTCGGCATCCTTCTCCTCTCCATTGATATATTTGCCATCGCTCTAGCTTGTTTAGTTCGCCTGCTGTGTCGTGTTGAGTAAACGTGTGTTCGTGGAAAAACGAAATTGGCCGAAACAGCATCTGAAACGTACTCTAGAATTGTGCGTGGTGATAGTGCTATTAGTCGTGCCCAGGTGTTTCGATGACATAAAGAAAAAAACTCGCATGAGCAAGTCGAAGATGAAAACAATGATTATTGCCTTTTTTGATAGCGTTCACAAAGAATTATCGCCAAGTATTCGAAAGATTGCGAAAACGAGCCAACAGGGTGCCCCCAGCCATTGCTCGTAACTGGATCCTTCATCACTCCACATTGTATAAGGAAGCGAAGTGGTAGTGAACGAGTACAAGACCAAATCTAACATTGATCATAGACAAGTTCGTTTAAAGCCAACGCAGAATCACTCTCGTCAATTGCCTCGACGAACAAAGCGCTCTACAGTCCCTCATCATTCCTCGCCTGCTGCATAGTGCGAAGGCCTGATGAGTCGGCACTACAAGTTTTCAAAAAAAAAAGGTTTTGCGGAAGAAAATGAAGGTTGAAAACTTGAAAAAACATCACGAAGTAGACATAAATAACTCCAATGATTTATGTTCCTGTACTTCCTTATTTATGCTAAATGAATCTACAGTACAACAATAGAGTAGCTGCCGGAACAGGTTAGAATAATGCCGATGCGAATGCACCAACCGAAACAAAGAGAGAAATGTGTAGATAATTCATTTTGAATTTAGGATTTTAACAAAATATAAATATTCACATAAATGAATCTCTTTGGTCAAGGTAATGGTTTGTTGGCTGTCCTACATAAGGTGGGCTACGATATTTTGAATCACCCTCCCTGCAGTTCAGACCTGGCCCCATGTGACCTGTTTAAATTAAAAAGCATCACATTTTTAATCCCGACCTTCAAATCAAAGAAATTGTGGCTATCTCCGAAGCATCATTTTAAATGATTTTTTTTTTTTTTTTGTAAAAATTGAGTTTGAAAAATCTACTTTCGATAAATTGATTTAAATTGGTTTTGAACCAATTTCTTATAAAATATAAATGTTGTAAATTGAATTTTTAATTTCCAATTTTTTTTGTCCCGAACTAGACAAACTCGGTCAAGGTACCCAAATCCACGAGCGATCAAGCCATTTGAAGTCGTGCTCAACTGTTTTGAACTACCCCGACAGTCATGGCACTCGTTGGTATTGTTGTAACTGCTATTGTTGGCCCACATTGCTTGTCGTTCTGCATATAGGCGAGTGTGCAGGCGGTGATTAAAATTAACCAAAAGACTAACCAAAATGTGCAGAAGAGTGTACGTCGCAGCTTTTGCCACCAGGGATCGTCGACAAAAGGCAGTAATTCCTCCAGGCTGAGGCTGGCGGAGAAGCTGTAAGATATTTGCAAGGAGATTAAATAAAATTAATTTTAGCTGGAAGTTCTATTATCACTGAAACATACTCTCCATCCTCTAATAAGGGTGCGTAGCCATTGTACAATGGTTTCTCCATGACGTCAATATAATATGAGTTTTCCTTTGTTTGTGGTGGGACGTGTCCATTGCTGCTGTTTTTGGCTGTGCAGTTGCCTAGGAGTCTTGTGTTTTCGTTTGGTGGCGACATTTTTATAATTATTTTTGACTTATTTTTAATTTTGATTTTTCTCAATTTTTTTTTGTTAATTTCTATATAATTTTTAATTATAAATTTATTTATTTATTTAAGAATTTTAAATCTTATATGTATGTACATTAACGTCTCCTTTTTAAATTTAATTGTTTTTTGTTTTTTAAATAGTAAATAAATTGTTAATTTTGTTAACCAGATTCCGTCTTATCTGCCACAGCGATTCAACTTCAACTGCTTCGTTTGCAGAAGAACATCATTTAATGGCGTTACTACTTACACACATACATATACATACATACATACAATAAATAATTGCAGAATTTTTTTTTTTCATTTTAAAGAGATATATACATATGCACATATGCATGTATGGGTACACAGTGGTGTCGCACTAATTAAGCAACATAAATGTTAAATTTTCCGTTAATATTGGTCTAGTAATAAGTAATCCATTATTTTTTTTTTAGATATCTTTTGTGATCTATAAATGTGATGGGATTACGCTAGAAGACGTTAGAAAAAAAAGGTAACGGAAGGAGTGTTGATCACTCAGTAGTGTTTCAGGGCATGTCAAAGGTGGACACCAGCAAGAGAAAGTACGCAACATTCTTAAATTTTTCCTCCAAAAAGGCGAAAACGCAATTCAGGCAGCTAAATATACAAGTAGCGCTTAAAGTCCAGTGCGGAAAATTAGCTTTCCGACGAAATTGTCGATAAAACAATGGAAACCGCCGAGTCTGACCTACCCACTTGAAAAAGGTTGGATACACAAAGAAGCTCCATGTATGGGTGTCACATGAAATAATGGGAAGAAAACCCTATAGGATTGATTTTCCCTCAAAAATCGATCCATTTCTGAAGCGGATGATGACGGGTAATGAAAAGTGGAACATTTAAGTAAGTAACGCCAAATTAAAACGGCTGTGGTCGAAGAACAGTGAGCCGGCATGAACAGTCTGCAACTCAGGATTAGAACCAGGGAAGGTTTTATTGTGTGTTTGGCGTCTTTAGGAAGGAATCAACCAATGTGAGCTGCTTATCTGGGGTCAAACTCTTCATTCGGACCTGTACCGACAGCAATTGGGCTATCTGGAGGCAGAATATTTACAAAATCTATTCTAAAACTATACAAGTATATTTCTGCAGAACTCGGGCAGAACTTTGAAGTGCGTTTTTTCGTGTGTTCATTTTTACAAGTCATAACAGACGGGGCCGGTGATAGCAATGATCGAAAAAGATTTACCTTCATTATTAAATTATCTTCCATTTGTTCAAACAAAATTTAGACAAAAGTATTATTTAAACTATTTTTTTTTCAAGTTGTAGTTATATTTTACTTCAAAGCAGTACATTTCTTTTAAACTACGAAAAAATGGAATATTCAAACTTCTTCGGCATTTTTTAGTTCATATAGAAATAAAAAAAAATTGGTTCGACTGTTACAGTTGCACCGTACGACCCGCCATCATCGGCACTGTTTCACGAGTTCAGACTGCAGTCGCTTTAGGAAACTCATCACAACATTGGAAAATTAAAATATTTTTTGATACCAAAAATTGCTTTTTGAACCCAAAATATAATACATTATTGTATGTAAGTTTCGTTTACCGCATTAATTTTCTTTACTTTCAAAAAAAATTGCTGAAAAATCGCTATGTTTTCAGGTTCTAATGGAGACTCACGAAATAACATGAAAAAATTAGTTTGCCACCACTGTGTGTTCAATACATGTTAAAGAATAAAAAATTGGTGACTGTAACTTTAATAAAGCTCATTGTAATGTATTTAATATATCTACATATATATGTTATTTTTGGGGTCGTTTTGATTCCTGTAAACAATATTATCACTGAAAGAGTTATTAGTCTTTACACTTGTATGCCAATGTGCGTTGAGTGTGGAGTAAATTAAAAAGACACACAAAAGTGCGATTAAAGTATGTTTGTGTATGTAAATATGCATGGATTAAAACAAAAAAATTTTTTTTTAACAAAAATATAAAAAAAAACACATCTTTGTCTGCATATATTTATATATACATATGTACATATAGAGGCCTCATCATCTTTGAGACTGATAAGATAACAATAAAAACCGTTGTAAATATAAACGTATACTCGTACTATTTGATGATTTTATTAAACCACAAATTCTTCTTATCTTATTCTTCTTTCATACCTACAGTGTCTTGAAGCATAAAAAAAATTTTTATCGCAGAGCTTTCGTATGATTCTACCACCCTCACGGCACTCTTCTTGTCCCTATTCTTTGCTCGATATACACACATATGTATGTACGAATATGCATCTTTAGCAAAAAAAAAAAAAGGTGTAGCGGTACTTCGATAAGAAAGCTGTATTGAAGCAAACACATGTAATTTTTTGTTTCTAAAATTTTATTCAATTCGGTACAAATAAACAAAATTTAACAAATTATTTCGTTCTTTATTAACAAAAACAACACTTTTTTTATCATATGGAAATACACAATAGAATTAAATAAATATTTTGGAGAAATATTTTACTTTCTTTAATGAGTTCTTATCTTACAAGTTGAGGATAAGTAGTGAATATAGTAAATTGCCATCGATACATATATGTAAGTATGTAGATGCATATACTTCGGCATTTATGTAGTTTTGCATACACAATATTTTTTTTTGTATATTTGTTTTCACGAAATTCTTTAAGCATTTAACAAAAGAGTGTTTTTTTATTTTTGCTTTTGTTTATCTGTTTTTGGCTTTAAGTTTGGACTTTTCTCACTTAAGTTGCAGGGCTTACTTAAAATATACATACTTTTTCATATATAAGTATGTGTGTATATTTTAAATATAAGTTTATAAATATTAATAAAATCTATAACAAGTCTTATAGAAAACGAATTAAATGAATAGGGTTTTTACTTATGTACTTATAAATAGTATATAATAGATATTTACATACATACATATGTAACTAAGTTGACTTGGGGTAATTGTATACATATCCAAATATATAGAGATTTTTTTTTATACCATACCGTATATATTGAAGGTAATTTGACAGAATGTAAATATTTTATGTTAGAAAAACAACTGAAACTGAGTTGAATATATTTTTTTTTTAAATTTTTGAATTACTTCCCTAATGTTTTGGATGTTGGGCTTGTGTTAAGTGGAAATTTTTTTTGATAAATAAAAAATTTTTATTAAATAAATTTAAAATAATTTTTTCTTTAATTTATCTTAGGGACATTTAAATTTCGGAAAATATTTTTTAAACTGTTTTAGATTTTTTCGAAGAAGTTTTAGGGTTTAACATTTATGCCTTTTTAAGTTAATAACAATTCGATGTATTTTCGAAAATAAATTTCAATTTTCCAGTTAAAAAATAATTTCCGGTTTTCCTCAACTCGTTCTAAAAATTATTTCGCTTAATAAAATCAACAATCTCAAATTTTAATAACTTTTATACATTTTCCACTAAATATTGGTGTGTAGCATGCTTAACGATATCTTTTTATGATTTTTCTTTAATTATGCTATATTGGTATTTTTTAGTATTTTTTATATGGAGCATGGTTTGAAGTGATTTTTGAAGTTTAGTTGTATTTCTATTAAATATTTTTTATATATATAGTTAAAATCAATGCCAGGATAGCAAAGTCAGCGTGTTTAGCTTTTAATCTCAAGATGATTAATTAATTAATTTCATAGTTTCTTTTGTGATTTTAAATAAGAAATTCACTTTAGAAATTATTTGTGTTAGTTTAAATAATGGTATTTTTGAAAAAAAATTTAAAAGAAAAATTCAAATTAATCTGAAGTATTTGAAATTAAAGCAATTGCAATAAAAAGCTGAAGCACGTTGAATGCTCTTAAGAGAGTTTTAAGCTGTGATGAAAGCTTCTTTCAAGCTTTTCTTGAGTCTGGGTAATTTGAAACTTGCGAATTGATATAAAAGAAAGCTTCAAACTGTAATGAAAGTTGCTTTCCAGCTTTTTTTGAGACCAGATTTTGAACTGGTGAATTTTTTTTTTTTAAACAACTTAAGCTCTATGAAAGTTCTTAGAAAGGTTTGAAACTGAAGTCTTCTACTGCTTTTTTGTTGAATCAAATTTATTTGAAACAAATTAATTTATCTATATAAAAAGCTTAAGTTCCATGAAAGTTCTTGGAAAAGCTTTAAACTGGTTGACCCAAAAAGTAATAATTTATTGCAGAAAAATCTTATTTATTTTTAGAGAAATATTTCTCCAAACTTTTTTCTTTAAAACTCTTTTTATACTATGGTACATAATTTAATATATGAAAGCGTTTGAATATGCTTTGTAGGATAATGAAAGCTCTTTGTAAATTTGATTTAAAGCAGTTAGCGATGCTTGTGAAGAGAGTATTTTAGAAAATTTGCTTTGTTTTCAAGAAAACTTTGAACTGCGACGAAACCTCTGAAATATAAATATTTCTTTAATCATTTTTCATTAAAACTTCCATTATGCAAAAGTAGTTTATTCATTATTTAATATTATATATGGAGCTTATAGAGTACGAAAACGTTGAAAGCTTTTAAATGAGTTTTCAGGCGAAATCAACGCTTTTTAAAAATTTGCCTAAAGCCAGCTACAGTTGCTCGCAAGTTGCTTACAATAAAGTGAGCTTTTTAGAAAACTTGGAATAAATATAATCTCTATAACTTTGTAAACTCAGAATGAGAGCATGGATAACTGTATTAGTTATTGCGAACGTTTTAAGAAGATTATCGTTCGTCTAAGCTTTCATTCATTACTGTAATTTTACTGGAGCTTTTAATAAATCCGTTCCAATTTGAGCAATAGTTTTATTATATTTAATAATATTGACAAAATTGAAGGTAGCAAGCTTTAGGTTTCACCTTTTAAACCAATTTTTTGTATATTTTTCTAAAATTATTTTTATTTATTTCTTAAGAGCTTTCACACGCTTAAAGCTTCGGAGACGTTTAATTAAAATTTAATTTAATTATTTCGAATTTTATTTGCTTAAGTAGCAAAGACTACATTAAAGAAGAAACAATGTAAATCTGTCTTCTTAAGAGCTTTCATGCGCCTAAAGCTTTAGAGAAGTTTAATTTAAATTTACTTTAATCGTTCTAAATTTTATTTGCTTAAGTTGCAAAGACTGCAAAGAAACATTGTAAATCTGCCTTCTTAAGAGCTTTAATTAAAATTTAATTTAATCATTTCGAATTTTATTTGCTTAAGTAGCAAAGACTACATTAAAGAAGAAACAATGTAAATCTGCCTTCTTAAGAGCTTTCACACGCTTAAAGCTTCGGAGACGTTTAAAAATTTAATTTAATCGTTTTGAATTTTATGTGCTTAAGTAGCAAAGACTACATTAAAGAAGAAACCAGGATGACTGTAACTAACAAAAAAAAAAAATCAAAAATTAAAAAAATAGTTAATAAAAACATTATTTTAAATAATTTTTAATTAGTGTTTTTTTTTAAATTTATCTATTATAATAAAATTAAATGTAAATATACAATTTTCAACAATTATTACTTAAATTTATAATATTAATATTTTTGCAAATCGTTTACATAATTATGGAAGGCCCGATACACAAGCGGCAACATGTGGCATCTTTGCTTACAATAACAATGAGTGCGTCTGTGTGTCTGTGTTTTTGTTTTGTTTTATTTTTCGTTATTTGAAAATTTGCATTCACGCCAGTGTTGCCAGCCGTTTTATTAATTTGTTCTACACTTGATTTTCGTCGTCGCTGTTGCTTTGCATTTTAATGCATTGTTTCATTTTTATTACAATAAATTAACATTACATACATACATATTTATTAAATATACATATACAATATAAGAATAATACAATAACAATAAAATTTCTCTAAAAATTGCTAACGCTCGGCAAATATGATTTTCATCTCTCATTTATATTTTATTTATTTATATAATTATCTTTAATGGCATAACTTAAACGTAATTCTATTAATTACATATATATATATATATATATATTGTACATATACGTACATATATAATTAATAACATTTATTAGTATCATTTATTTAATTGTTAATTTATTTATTATTATCATATCATTATATATATAAAAATAAATTAAATTTAATAATACAATGTTATTGCATGCTTTGCTCTTTTGTTTATTGTTTTTATTATACTTGATGTTTCGTTTCGTTTTTGTATTTTTGTATTTTTGTTTTTAATATTAAAGTACTTCTGTATGTAACTGTGCTTTGCTGCACTACATAAATATTCCTCCGCTCGCTCTTGCGCTCTCTTTTAGTTTGCTCCCAATTCACTACTACTTTTTTCAACTATGATTTTTTTTTTATGTCTATTTAAGTATGTAATGTGCTTGCTTGCTAAAAATGTTTCCCAAATTTGGAGTTTAGCCAAAGTTTAAGCTTATTTTGTTATGTTTCCTTTTTTTAAATTACTTAATTGTTCTTTTGCACACACTTTTGTTTGTTTTGTTTATGCAATTTTTGCTTTGATAATGATTTTCATAATAATAATATTTTTTGTTGCTTTTGTCTGTTAACATTCGTTCTGTTGCCTACTGTAACTATGGTTGCCGCCTTGCTGCGAAGTGCAAAATTATTTTTTATTTGTATTAAATTTTTCCTCTAAGTTATTTTTTTTTAATTACTTTTTACTTGCTATAAAGTTTGGCTGTCTGTGCTTATGAAGTTTAGTTGCTACTAAAATTTTCAAGACAGATTATGTTGCCTATTCAGTTGTTTGCTCTTAGCTTGTGATTGATTTTGTGTGTGTGTGTTTTTTTTTTTTCAGAAAAGTGAAATTGCCATTATAATTTTTTTTTAGAATATTTGCATACTCACATCGTTTTATATATATCTATGTTGTGCAGTTGAAGTTGATAAAAGTTAACAGACTCAGTTGAGTAAAATGAAGCGCATAAACAAAATGCGGGTACAATAATAAAACACATATATTTCGGAATTTTATTGTTGGTGTTCTTGTAAGAGCTTTAAAAAGTATTAGAATTTAAAAATAAATTTATTTATTGATATATTTTTGGTGCTACTGATTATGATTTGTTGATTAAATTAATTTAGTAAACTTTAATTACCCAGATAGTAACAGATTTTGTCTCAACTTAACTGGTCTGCAAAATTTTTTTAGTATCTTAAACCCTCAAGCGATTTTCGAACGACCTCCTCCTCATATTTGTGGTGTGCGTCTGGATGTGTTTCCAATAAATGGAGAGACCTGTTTTTTATTCTAAGCCGCCTTTGAACGACTGATGTATTATGCGGAGCTTTTAATCTCACAACAAAATCACTTAATTCTTTTGTATTTTTGAATACGAAATTCACGTTAGAAATTAATTGAGTTTTGCAAATTCAAATTTCAAAATAAATTCTCCACAGAAAAATGAAATTAATAATTGCTCAATTGTATATAAAGTACTTGAAATGAATGCAATTTCGCAAAAGCTGAAGCTCGATGAAAGCTCTTGGGAAAATGTTAAACAACAATTAAAGCTCTTTACAAGTACTTAAAAAGTTTCAAACTGCAATGAAAGCTTTATTTGAGCTTTTGCTGAATCAAAATTAATGCGCAAAAATGAATTTTGTTATATAAAAATCTTAAAGTTCTTAATAAACTTCAAGCACCGATGATAGCTTTTTTGAAGTTGTTGCTTTTTATTTCACGTCAGTAATATTTATACTCAGAGAGCTTGACACTTTCTGTAGAAGAATGTTAGCTTCTCGGCTAGAGCGACCGCTATCAAATTTAGAGATTTCAGCTTGGTTCATGATATTCAAATAAATAGAGCGCCAAGTTTAAAAAATCCGCTCTTTTCGTTTATAGTTTTTCTTAAAGAAAGTGAACCAATATATTGGTCTAAGTTTTATGGGTAACAGGTGAGGCGACTATGCATACATTTTTATTGTTTTGTTGATAGAATTCAAGTTCTTGTGTAGCGTAGTTTTTCCTTTCTTGGTTTTCAATGGTAAACCAAATAAAATTTCCTATCGTAGTGAATTTCAATTGACATAATTTACTATCTAAAACTGAGTTGGGTGAATCATCTGATCCGACACCAAGAAATCTACATGCTTTGTATGCACAATTACAAAGCTTTATAAGCTGAAAGAAGCTTTCGAATAAATCAAGCGTAGTTGTCAAGAAGATTTATTACTAGTTCCTTTTCTTTTTGACACCTTGTGTTAAAACCTTCAAAATCGCCAATTCTACTGAAATTCCTTGCTTTAACTTCGCGTTAATGATTATAAGATATTCTGCTTTGAGGTATTAAAAGCTTGCATCGTTTTTGTTCACAGCTTCCACAAGGTTTTTTTTCGTTAGTTTCAATATTATGTGAAGCAATAGCAGAACGAATTTTTAAATTGACGCAAGAAGTTGGCTTAGAATAAAAGGAATATTCCTCCATTTGTTGGAAAAACATTGAGCACCGAAATTTCGAGGATGAGTTCGGTCAAAAATCGCTTCAGCGGTTACAAAGAGCCAATTATATAAGTATATCAATAATACTTCATAAGGCTAGATTTCTCTAACTTTCTCACATGCTTTAAATTTATTTGCGATGCTAAAAATAGTCTCCATTCATCAGATTTTTTTTGGAAAGCTTTGTTCTCGAAAACGCCTTGCAAAGTAGCTCATATATGTAGTCTTCTTGAGTCTGTCATGCGTCAGAATCTGAGACGAAAAATGCCTTTGTTTTATACTTCATACATTCAAAGGCGCCATAGGCTTTTAAAGCTCCAGGTGCATGATAATCGCGCAAAGAAAAACGAATTGAAAAAATTATATCGAAGAAATGGGATAAAGGGCCTAAACCCTAAGGTCTCATGTTTCTGATGGAGGATCTTGTTGCAGACCAGTGTGATTGGGATGCAGAATATTTTCTATTTACCCAGAAAGAAATTCAATTAATTCCAACTCGACTCGATTTCTCAAAACCTGAGCTGCCAACTTTATGTACTCGTATGCCTAGGGAGAAGAGTGCATCGCTTTTTTTGCTATTATTTCCTTTTTAACGCCAATTTCTCTGCTAAATACTGTTAAAATTTCTTTTGCACTTTAGTGTTTTTCAAGTACTCCCACATTTTGCCATTTTACTTTGTTTCACAATTTAATTTATTTAATTTTTTATTTGCTTAAATATTTTCCTATGTATGTAAGTATCTAGTAGCCGGTTCTGATCTTTGACTTGCATTTCATTAATTATTTTATGCTGCTTGTTTTCATGTGTGTATGTATGTGTGTATGTTTTGTTGTTTATCTTTTACATCTCATTTTTGGCTATTAAAAAGTATATAAGTTGCTACGAGTGTAAGTTTGTTGTAAGTTGCTTGTATGTGTGTGTGTATAGGAGTGTTTGTCTCTGGTTTTGTGCCCCTTTAGAATCCTTGGATGACTTCGTATGCTTCCAAAGTGCTCATTATTAAGTAGATTAACCACAGACTGAAGAAAATGGCGCTATGAATGTATTTCTGTGGTGATGGTCCGCCCAATTCACCACCTATTGATTTCTTACGGCGATACATGATCAGGAAAACGGCAATTAGAGCACCGGAGAGGAAAAGTGTCACCGAGAAGGCCAAGCTGTGGAAGAGAGAATATTTAAAGTTGTTGCTATTGTTACGGTTTGATATAGAAAGTACAATAATTGATTCTTGCAATTAATGCAATTGGCATACAAAGTTGAATTTTGATGAAAGCTCTGAAGAAAGTTTTGAAATGCGGTTAAAGCTCTTATGAAGCTTTTGTGGAATATGAGTTTTTTGAAACTAGTGAAATTATTTATTATTCCAAAAAAAAATTTAAACTGAGACAATTTTTGTTTTGTGGTTTAAGTTCTTGCAGAAAACCAATGTTTGTTTTAAAGAAAATTCTGAATTGCGTCGAAAGCTTTTTTAGAAATTTAAATATTTATCAAAATCTCTTTTTTATAAAGTATGAAAAAGCTGAAAGCTTTTGGATAAGCTTTCGGGTGCATGAAGGCTTTTGGAAATTTGACGAAAGCTCCGTAAATTTAAATATTTCTTAAAACTGTTTTTCTTTAAAACTTTCGTCATGCTAAAGAAGTTTATTTATTATTCTATACTGAAGATTCTTATTTGGGAAAAAGCTGTAAGCCTTTGAATAAGCTTTGAGCCGCAATGAAGGCTCGTTGGTTTCGGATATTCAAAATGGTAGTCGAAAAGTTATTATTCGCTCTGCCTGTAACACAAAGTCTGGTGTATTTCAATAGAACTTACACAATGGAACGGAAATTTTGCCACGACATGGCTTCTCTTCTTTCTGACGAGTCTTCATGAAGAATACACCACAACAATGCCTACGCCTGATCCATTTTCATACTAACATACATTGCAACGCATATACTTACGTGCCCGCCTCCACCCTGAAGGCTTCACCACGCGATTCATGGTATATGGCTGCCATGGTCCACGCCACTCCAATACCAAGGAAGACATTCACTGCATTGCTACCCGTCACATTACCGATACTCGCATCCGCCGTCTTATCCTGTATGGCAGCCACTTTACTGGCGAATGTATCTGAAATCAGTACAGTACAATAAGTTTAATGTACAGTTATGCGCTGACGAAGGAGTTGGTATAACCAACGCATAGCTTAAAATTGCACAACCCAACCCACACATGTAATTATGCAATTAAATAAGTACGCTTGTGTGCTTGTGTGTGTGTGTGTGTGTCGGTACAAGTATTTCCACTTACCTGGCAAACTAGTGCCGAGCGCCACAAAACAAATCGCCGTTACTGCATCCTTGACGCCGAGCGTACAGCCGAAATGTGATGCCACATCACCAATTAATGCTGTCACCATACCGATGCCACATATCGAAACAACAAAGCACACATAACCGTTGCAAATATCTATGTAATTAGTGTGTGTGTGTGTGTGTGCGATAATCGAAGAAGTGAAGAAGTGAAGAAGTCGACAGCGCGCAGGGTAAAAGAAGAAGAAGTATAAGAATTACAGTATAATTGAAAAACTTTTCTTCTTTGAATTCCAGCAACTCACCTGTTGGCGGTATGAAGGCGAATAGGATTTTCCAGAAGAGTGTTAGGAAATGCAATATGTAATCAAAGCATGAGGGCGATTGTGGCTCATCATCCTCGCCACCTTCACCATTGCCATCATCATCGCCTGAAAATAGTTCAGAAGATTGTAGGAGCGAATAAAAAAAAACACGGTATTTTTTTATCCATCTTTCGTGAGAATATCGTTAGTTGCAAGCTCGTCCGTAGCTTTTGAGAGCTTTTAAAGCAATATATGTGTATTAGATAGTCAGTTATGCTCTCTATTGTTGTTGTTTCAACCGCAAAAATATTGCCTAAGGTACTTTTTGGGGAATGTTGCAGTAGTGACAGTCCTTGAACGGCTTAAAATCCGGGTTGTTCCGGTACCCGACTATCGCGGGAGCTATTGGATTTTAGTCGAATCGTACGACAGCCTTGCCTTACCGCTGGTAAATTTTTGAACCCCTAACCTTCAAGGGGGGGTTATGATCTCTCGAAAGGATTACTGGATGGTAGCGATGATACATCAAGGAAATAGAGGGTAGAACGCATCAGTGGGATGCTGGGAGATCTTTTCCGCTTCTTTCTGTTCTTATATAGAGCTTCGTAACTAAAGGACTTCCCAAAAAGCCTTGATGTACTACATGATTACTACTTCAGATCGAACTAAATTGAAGCTTCATCTGGTATTACAAAGTTCGAGTGGGTCTATGTATGTCGTAACAGACAGCCAGTATAACCTATTTGATCAAGAACTTTCAACAGTTCCCAAAAACCAATTTGTAAAATAATTTTGCGGTTACAACAGTTGTAAGGGTATGGAGTTCTTCTTCGTCCGATACGAAATGCTTATTATTTTTAAAGGTCGATGACATCGACCCGATGATGTTCTGATCAAAGTACTGATCGGCCGACTGATATAATTGGTGGCTTGTACCCGCGATTTCCGGTCAAGCTCCTTCTCTATGATTTTCTAACAAATGGAGGGACTTATGGTTTTTCTGAGCCACTTCCGAGTTTGAGTTGTATCTTAATCAGAGGGTGACCGCTATTAAAATAAATATTTTTCTATAACTACTAATACACTTCCGATAATAATGGTGTCTATTCCAAAAGCGTAACACCCCAGGGACGGTGATAGTTGAAAGAGATTGAATCAGGGTCTCCATAGTTGCAATAATGTCTGATCAGTTAGGCATCACGCGAGATCTGGTTTTGAGAATATAAGGTGTTGTCCGGAAGAACATAGTACTCAAAGTGTGTTACACGTGATAACTCTAGCTTAGAACGTCCGGTAGTATGAAAACGTTGAATGGATGAACGAGAAAAAGTCACTTTGTTGGCAACGGCTACAACAGAAAAATTTTGGATTTGTTAATGTAGGAGTACGAGTAACTACGGCTTCGTAGCGATGTAATATATGTACGCTTCAGTAGTAGCTCCGTAGGGTCTATGGAGGCTGAAGGAAGATTATTCTAGAATTACGACGGAACGATAACTTCTGACGGGCAATGGCACAAAGGCTCGGCTTGGATCCGTGACGATTGGCGATAAAGTGTTTCCGTATTAAATACCGCTAGACTGAACTCACTACGAGGATAAGCACATACATTGTTCTCTTAAGGCTAGTTAAGATACTTAATATACATATATGTATGTAGTCATAGTACAAAAATACATATGTGAATATACGTAAAATTTATATAGACATTTATAAGTTGACTTTCTTTAATCCATACACGTGTAAGCCTTACCAGCAGTTACTGTCAACGCATCCGCAAACTGTTCCTTCCAGGACGATGTACCAATCAATAGTGACGCATTCGCTCTTTGCACTAATTTATCCACAGTGTTCTGACGGGTGGCAGAAAAAAATGTTAAGAAAATGTAAAAAAGAAAATATGTAAGAAGAAAATTCAATTAAAACCTTGTAACGGTTGGAGCTTTATTGCACACAATTAATTTTATTCACCTTAAATTCTTTACTCTCCTTGATGCGCAGCTCAGCACGCACCACCTCACCCAATTTGGGACGACCCAGTAACGCCATTTTATCCTCTTCCGTCAGCTCCTCGGGTGCCTTCTTCTCGGCAGCCTCAATAAGTCCTACCATTTCATCGTCTGCGATGGCGAAGCAGCAGGATGTGTGCAGCAGCAGGGATAGTAATATATTTTGTTTGTTTAAATATTGGCATAAATAAATGTAAAGTAATGTGTTACACAGTTAAGACAGGGAAATAAACAAATGAAATAATGGGGGTATTCACAATGCTGTACAATAATTTTCGAATATTTCGGTAAAAAGATTTTATTGAAAAAAAAATTATATTTATAAATTTTTTGTGAAAATCTTTTGTACGCAGTTGTGAATACCCTTTCCAAAAAAAAAAAAAAACAAATAAATATCGTATATTTTTTACTCTTTTTTTTAGTGTTAACACAAATTTAGTTGTTAATTTTCTTGTTGTTTTCACTTGTCTAAAGAATGTGACAACAATTTGGTAAACATGAAAGCACAACAGCACAAAAATATATTTTACATATATTGTACATACATAGGTTAATATAGAAAGACAAACATTGAGGAAAAAGTCAACAAGTTCAACGCTTTGGTTTGACTTGTTGCAATATTGGCGGAAAGCGAACACGAAAAGCCGATGCAGCAGACAGATAAACACTTAACCAATAGGTAGGTATGTAAATATGTTAATTGAAGCTCAATGAAAACGAACAAACAGCAACACGAAAATAAACGATAAATGACATATAACGGTATTTAGTATTGAATACTTACAATCATGGAGAGCATGCAACATGCCACTACTACATACGTGTACACCCAAACACTCTTACACTTTTACATACACTCGTGTGAATGGGTGTATGCAAATATGTATATATGTATGTACATAAAATAAGAGACATATTTTGTAAAAAGTTCAATATATTTAATTGGATAGCGAAAAAGAGGAAGTAAGCAAATAGTCATGCAAAGCACTGGGCACAAAGAAATGGGGAGGTAGAGGAAATATATACAATACATATAAGGCAGAGGTGTACTTATTTTTTTTATAAAAAAAATTCACTTTTTATGACTTTGTTTTTTTTTTTGGCAGCATTAAAAACATTAATTGATATTTGAGAAAATCAGTAATACTAATTTTTTTTGTACTAAAAAACTAGTTTTTATGGGAAAAAATATTTTTTGCGTCGAAGAATATAAAATGTTCGTTAAAAATAATAAAAAAAAACATTTAGCATTTAAATTAAATAATAATATTAAGCTTAATTGAATATTAACTTGAAAACAAAGTTAAGCTATGACCAAAATTAGCTTCAGCACCAGTTAAGCTGGCGAATCTCTCTTGATTTCTCTTTTTGACTCTTTTAAGAGTTTAGAGCAAGTAAAAATTATGAAAAATATTGAGTTTTTTATCTAACTTGGGAAAAATATTTGTTGAAAAACTAAAAATACTTTTCGAATTATTCTACTTATAAAAAGAAGTGGTCCTGGTCGCACCAGAGTGATAGTGCCTTTTCTCAAAACTATGACTTTTGAACTGGAAACCACTGCAACTCGAAAATAACTAAATAGATTTGAATTTAAAATATACAGTTTTTTATTCTTTTTAAACAATTAGCAGTTAGTTTTTTTTATTATATATTTTTTTATTTTTCCTTCAAAGCTTCGATCAGACAGTGGATTATTTATTGCATTTCAATCTGATTGATTTAAGGCACAAAGGAAATGCCTCGGCTGAAACAAATATTTAGCTATTTTACCATTTTTCTAAACATTTTTGTGTGAAAAATAAAAACTATCAAATTTCGAAATGACATACATATATATGTATATATACGTATATAAAAATCGATTTCTAATCGAGAAATCGTAAAAAATTATGATTATTTCCCATCGAAAGCATATAAAAAATATATATTACACATATATAAGTTCTATAAGTGTATACTAAAGTGTTTTTTTCAGACATGTGGTTTTCAAGAAAAATTTAAAAACGATTTCGAATGGCATGTCACCGCCGCAGATAGCTCGCATAAAATCCAGCCGAGTGGCTAAATTGTATGCCAGCAATAATGCGCCGAAAATTCTCTTCCAAGGCTTAACTGCGTATAGAATTCGCCTCACATAACCTCACGAAAAAAAAATAGTCCAGCGGTGCGCAATCTCACGATCTGGGAGGTCACGCCATAGGCTTTCGACGCGAGATAATGCGCTCACTAAAAGTTTTCTTTAACAAATTGATTCTTACGTCCGCTGTATGGTATGTAATGCCGTCTTGTTCAAACCAAAAGTTTTCCACACCAACATACTTCAACTCTGCTTCAAAAAAGTCGCTAAGTCTTTAATCATGGTCTCAAAGCAGAGCCCATTGTCTGTAACATTATTGCCGGCTCTATCTTTGAAGAAATATCGACCATAGAGTACACCAAATAGTGACCTTTTAAAGAACTAACGGTGTCTCAGCAATGGCTTTTTTGTTTATTAACGTACGCATTATATCAAAAGTGAGCTTCTTGGCTAAACAAAATATTCCTGTGAAAGTCGGGAATGGATGCCATCTCGTTTTGAGAAAATTCGCCAAACGTGCGACGCGCCTGATGATCGTTCGGTTTAAATTCTTGCAAGAGCTGGGTTTTGTAAGACCTCAAACCAATAACATTTTTTAAAATCTCCTTTTTATGGAAGAATCAGTGCAACTGCAATTGTTACACGTGATGACGTATGGGCTCATTCGGGTGTGTTTCTATGCGGCAACTCTGAGAAAGCGCATTATCCCCTAGAGTAAGCATGGTGCTAAGCCGATTCATGGTTTATCGAATCACCGAACGAGTATTGGTACAGCGTTTGATGTATCGGGCGAACTGATAGATGGTTCGCCCGATTTGTAAACGTTTTTTCGGAGTGAGTATATTCATTAGGAAATGACAGGCCAAACTTGGTGTGAACCAAGTAACAGCCTTCAAAAAGATCAACTCTGCAACAAGTATTACCTCCTTGGAAACCACACGTATAATAAACACACCCTTTATTCATATTCATCGAATAAATAAAAATTTAAAAACAACAAAATTTATCATTAAAAATAATGATTATCGTTGTTATGACTGTCGCTTTAGGACATGTCCTTTGAACTGCCTCCGATCTCAGACTGTAGTTGAAAATGACGATCGAACGAGCTTTCATTTGGGACTGAGTTAACCGATTTCGATGAAGAAATGTGCTATTGTGTATTTTTCTCGATTGGTCTGTTCAAAATAGTATTATATACAATATCTCTGTCGGTTGATATGGAGTTGCGTTTTTTTTCCAAATTGATTAAATTAAATAACATAAAAGAAATCGAAACGTCGAAAAGTGAAATTAAATATCGTTTGTTACAAACTTGTAAACAAATTTCTTAGTTGGGTTTCGGGCATTCAGTCGAATGCAGAGCTATATTGCGATTGACGAGGAGCATAAAGTGACAGGGGCAATAATCGGAGGATTTCTTCTCGTAAGGAGGAACTTAATAATTTTCATTGTTTTTCATTTTGATTATAAAAAGATTAATTTAAATTGTTTTATTTTAGTTTAAATTTTATAATATTTAAACATTTTATTTTTGCTTCAAATTTTGCCTCGGACATTTATGTTCTCTACTGAGCAGCTAAAACATTATACAACCGTCACACTAATCACTGACATTGCTAAAAATTTCACTCGAAACAAACAACAAACAAAAAGTTAAGCATATGATTTTTTATTATTTTTTCGTTTTTCCTTCTGTTTAGTGCACATCACAAAACACTATACATATATTCCAATTATATAGGGTTATCCATTTTGTGGTTTCAAAAGTATAGAGCTTTAATTTAACATCTGTCAAAAACTTAACTGTCAAACTAAACATGTTTTGTTATAGTCAAAATTCAGGCAATTTTTTTTTTATATTCACTACAAAAACGGCGATTCAAACGTGGCCACGTTCCTTTCTTTAAGGGGAGATTATGGTACACACAATCAACGACAAAAGCGAAAAAATAATCTTGAAGAGACTGGGTCGATTACAGATATTTTAAGGCCTGTGAACCTTCGTTTTGCTAATTCCGTCTCGCTACTGTAATATTGTCTATTTCTCAACGTTCTCAAGAGGTTTCGTGCGGCGCATTATGGCGTATTTCGCACTTGGACTCGCACCTACATCCATTTAAAGTCCAGTTCACAAAACAACTGAGGCCAGTTGATCATTCACAGCTCGATATTTGCGCTACTTGGGTGTTTGTAGAACAAGCCGGGCTTTTCGAAAAATAATTTTTTTTCAGTAAAGAGGCACATTTATCGTTCGGCGGATACGCAAATAAATAAAATTGTCACTTTTAAGGCTCTGAGAATCGTCATATAATTGAAAAGAGGCGATGGACTGTAATTAAAGCACATGACGTGAACAATGCCAATGCCACATGCACATAACACGAGAAAAAAATGGCAAAATTGCCAGAGAAATTGTCCGGCCGCGAAATCTCTCGTCTTCGTGATGTCAACTTGCCACCGAGATTGTGCGATTGTCAGAGTTTTTTTTTTTGTAGCGCTAAGTGAACCTTTATTTCTTGAACACTCCAAAAGCAACATTCGTCAAATTATGGCTGAGACATCGCCCGACATGTGCCAGAAACTGGTCGAAGTTTACCTCAAACGGATATGCGAGAGGGTCATTTGACTGAAGTCTGCTAAAGGAATTTCATGAAAAAAAAAAATAATTTAAATGCATTTAATTTCATTTTCGAAACCGCAAAATGGATTACCCTGCATTTAGAAAAGCAAAAATTATTAAAATTGGGGAAGCACAAATAAACACACCAATAAATTAGGCGGAAAATTAAACATTTAAAAATTTTAATTGCCATTGTGGTTGTTGTTGGTAAAGCTAAATAAATTAAATATGCTATTTTATGATATTTACTTACAAATGCAATACGAATCGAAACGAATAGAGGAGAAGTTGTACGTTGTACGGTCGTATACAGTTCGTTCGGTAGATTTATAAATTTTTTTTTTCGTTAAAAATGTTTTAATTTTCAAATTTCGTGTGTACGTATTTAAAAGAATACCGTTGCAGTTTAGTTGATTGTTGTATTTTTTTTTGGTTTTTCGCAAATATTTGCAATTTTGTAATTTTTTTTATTATTTACACATTTTTTTTAATATTTTTTTTTTTTTCAATATTCAAGTGTTGTTTGGCAAATATGCAGACAGAAAGTAATCATTCAAACGAAATCATTACATTTTCATATTGTTTACAAGTTGATATAAGCAATTTAAAAAAAAATTAATGCATATTTATTGTGACAAGCGTGAAGGAAGAAGAAGAAGCAGCGGCAGCAGCAGCAGTAAGAGCAAATGTGTGGATAGAAAAGCCGCAGAAGCCGGATGAGGTAGGATATGCGTGTATGCATGTAAAGTAAGTTGATATTTAGTTGTTATGTTGATTTTGTTTTTATAATAATTTTTTTTGACGATGGTATTTAAATTTTTTTTTTGTAGTTGGCGATGAAATAGTTATTGCAGTTAAAAAATTGTTGTTGTTGACGCAAAAAGTTTGTGATTTATTGAATAACCATTAAATATGTAGAGCATAAAACCCAGAGCGCGCAGGGCGGGCGTACACAAATCCAAACGTAAGATGTGCGCCAAGAAATTGGTATATATAACAGCATTTTGTAGAAAAAAGTATAAAAATGAGTAACGCTTTTTTTGACTATAAATATGTATGTACATCCATACATAACATTCATAAACATTGGCAATTAGACATTAAGTTAAGCATTCGAATTTTACGAAAAAGCTCGAGTTGTTCATTTGACAAATAATCTACTGCAATTCCAGCAGCAACATTTATTTACATTTAGTCAATTTACACTTCGTTTTTAGTCACAATAATTTAATTAATTTAAAAAAAATTTTAGATACAAAAAAGCGCAATTTCTTGTATAGTAAACGGTTAACAAGCAAAATTCACAACATCAATTAAAAAATTAAAATTAAGACACAAAATGACATTTATGACAATCTAATTGTTCGCAGAGTATTTTCATAATTAATGTGGAGATTATTTTCATGTATGTGTACGTGCATGTAATAGGCGGATTCACAAATTACAATACGGATCATAAGTGTGTTGGAATGTCAAAGTATTAAAATAAAAAATAAAAAAATAAAAATTATGAATATTCAGAAAGTCAACATATCCGTGTATATTTCTCAAATGAAATTAAAAAATCTATCAGCGGTCCTTAAACGCCAATTAAAAATTATCTTATAACAGGCGATCCACTTAGAGTTGCTTTTCCAATAGCCTTTTCTAGCAGAAATTCAAGAACTGCCATTTAATACAGAAAAAACAACGGTTTGGTGTTGTTTGTGGTCCGGTATTATCACCGTTTATTTGAAAATAATAGTTAAAATAAAAAAAAATAATTTTTTCCACAATGTACACCCTGTTTAACACACGCGGCTGACATTTGGATGGCCACAAAAAAGTTAATCCCCCAAATATTGGTTTAGCTACTTTTGGCTTCATGAATAATTGAAATAAAATTGGCCTAATGCAAATTTTAACCAACTTTGCACAAGTGTGTAGCAAGGAAATAAATGTCAATTAATGACGCATATTTTTGTTTTTGGTTAGTTTTGAACAGATTTGTAAAATAATTTTAATTTGCTGTAACAACACATTTAATATGCAACGCATTTTTCCATAGAGTAAATTTACTAGCTACAAATTGTTGTTGTAATAAATAATGTACGCACTAAATTTGCCGTTAGGTGGCATAAATAATATATAATCATAAGTGTGAAATCAATTTTGCAGATCAACGCAAAGTGTTTTTATTTAAATTTTTGAAATTAGTGCTTGAAATATTTGTGAGAAAGTACATGGAAATCGCTTTGAAAAAATTACAATTTTTTTGTGTAAGAGACCGCAGGAAAATGGAATCAAAAGGTTTCAGATCTTTTAACATTCTTACACTTTTGATGTCTTGAAAGCATAAAAAAACGATATTGAATATTGTAACCAAGCTGTCATGGGCGTATACTTGCTGGAATTACCGTTTTTATTTACAGCAGTAGTCGGCCTTAGAGGCTACATAAATGCATTTTTTTAAATATGTTATAAGACTATTAAAAAATACGTCTTCATAATTTCAGTGGCCGCTTCGCCTGATTTTAGAAGGTAGAGCAGTTTAAGTGGTCGAGCGTCCAGCAAACACGAATGCTCGGGCAGAACTTAGAAGCCCGTCTATTTGAGCTTTCAAAGTCTAAGAAAACAGTGCCGTTGATAGCAAAAAGAACATATGTCCGATCGAAAAAACTCAAAGTTATCTAGCTTCAGTATTAAAATATCTTCTATTTGTTCTAACAAAATTTGGACAAAAGTATTATTTAAACTATTTTTTTCAGCTTGTGGGGATTTTTTTCTTCAAAGAATTGAAATTTTTTAAACTTCGAAAAAATTTGGAATTTTCCAACTTCTATGGTATTTTTTTAGTTCATATAGAATAAAAATAACTCGTTCGACTACTTCGGATGCACCGTACGACCCGCCATCATCGGCACTGTTTCACGAGTTCAGACTGCAGTCGCTTTAGGAAACTCATCACAACATGGGAAAACTAAAATATTTTTTTTGATACCAAAATTTGCCTTTTGAAGCCTAAATATAATACATTATTGTCTAAATAATTTTTATTGCCGCAAAAATTTTATTCCCTCTCTAAAAGTTTGGTGAAAAACGGATTTTAAAGCGGACTACGGTCAATATTATTTTTCTGTAACTTCTTTTCAGCAAAAATTACAAGTCCATTTCTCTGGACCAACTGAAACTAGTGGATTTTTTTGATTGATTGGAAAATTGTGTGGGATTTAACATTAGCAAATTTTTTTGAAAGTATATTGAACTGATCCCACTAATGCCTGTAGGTTTCTCATTCTCACGTTAAGTCAAATGATGATCTCGTAATATCACTTTGCGCACAGCATTAATAGCTTCTGGAAAAATAACTGGTTTTGGACGACTGTCATGGAACTCGATTTAGCTATAGAATCTGTTAAATTGAAAAAAATATTATTTGGCTTCAGATTTAATAATAAGAAAAACACATCACTGAAATAACTACGATTTCGCCGTTTTACAATATTTTTTATTGTATTTTTACATATCAATACAGGACTAATAAATTTCTAAATCTTTATTTTTAACTGTATTCCGCTACCTCTTATATAAAAACTAGCAAATTAATGTAGCTTTCTGTTAGAACCTTTATTAATCATTATCTGAGTCAAATTACTTTGTTTGTGGGTTATTTCTTTGCTGATCAAAATCTTTCACGAAAGTGTCAATATGAATGCCACGAAGTCAGCCAATACGAAGCGAACATAACTACCGACGTGCTATGCTTGCTATGCAATCTATCAGAGAGTACCGAGTAAAGAAAACATTATTTATATTTCGAGCATATCGAGCTTGTTTCCAGGTATTTGGTTCATTTCCAGGAACAAAACATCATCAATAAATTGAACTCAAGGGTACCTTGAATATGCATATTTTTTTAAAAATAGATAAATCCACATTGGTTAAAAAAAAAAAAGAATTTCAAGCAAAAAGAATACGATTTTTTCACATTTCTAATTCTTCCGCATTTCGGGTAAATCAGACCATAAATACGACTTTTTTTTTCGAAAAAATCGGTTTCTACTCCATTTCGCTGAGGGTAAAGTATTCGTTCTGTAAACCGAATTTCGGAAACAAGCTTTTTCGAATAGGTCCGTGCCGGGTTCATTTCGTGTGAAGTTTTTTTGTAAAAATTTCAAATTTAAAAAATAAATAATGACCATCAAACCAAAAATTAAAAATTTTAAGATTTCAGAACTGAATTATTTGCACATGCCGAAATTATTGACACACAGCTCTAAGAAGTGAGTAAAATTAAATTAAAAAAGCAAAAGCGCGATTCTCTATTACAAAAATCCAAGAAAAAAAGCAAATCATTTGGACATAATAAAGCTACTTTGGGGGAGGTGGGGGAGAAATAAGATGTTTAAAAAGCGGTAAATAATGATATTCTAGAATTCAAGGCAAAAATTATCTTTGATTTTTATACATATAAAAAAAAAGATACATCTTATAAAAATTTGTAAAAAATTTTCAAAATATATACAAAAATGTTTTAAATTCCTTTGTAGAATAAACTATAAAAATGTGTGTATGTGTATGTACAAGTATGTTTCAGCGAATTTTTAATAATCAAGTTTTATTTATAAATATTTCTCCAACAAAAAAACATAATTTACTTTAGTAACAAGGACAAAAAGCTTGAAATAAGTTTCATTTAATATTTATGTATATATGTAAGTACAGTAATCCATACCACATGTAATGTTAATTAGAACGAGACAAAAAAGACATATACAGTTGTTTATTATATTTACAGCAGTTTTTAAAAATGATTTTGAATTTTTTTTTTTTTTTTTCTTTTTTGCCAATGAACCTTTCCAACTGCACAAATACTTAAAATTCAGTATGGAAAAAGCGTAAAAAACGATTAACAAACAAATGGTAGAAGTAATTGAATAGTAGAAAAGTAGTATGTTTTAAGCAAAATTTAATTTTAATTTTAGTTGTTGTTTTTTTTTTTACATACCGAGAAATTTGTTTAGAAATTTAAGTGCTTCCGTTTTAATGCTATTATCTGCATGAATAATGAACAGAGATGAATAGAAGCAATAATTCTATATTTTCTTTTTTTTAGGTTTAATGATAGTCTTTATGATATTTAAATTTAGTTAGTAGTTTTTTTTTTAACAATATTATTATTTAAGTTTGTTGTATATTTATTGCTTGTTAATAAATAATAATATATATAATAATAGATTTTCTTATGTGTTAAGGATAAAATTCTTTTCTAAATACGGATGTTGAGCGCTGTAAAGACTGCAATCTGCTCTTTTTTCAAATCCAAGGAACGACCTAAATAAATGAGAGATGAAATGACGATATAGGGAGAGTAAACTATGGTCGTTAAATTTACACACTCATTGCGTCATTCGTCTGCTAATATTCGCTCCGTGATCGTAGGTAGTGAAATATAGTGATCTGTGCACGCGTTTTATGAAAGCGATAGAATTACGCTAGGTGACTTTAGAGAGATGATATTTCGTACTAAAAAAGATAAAGGAAGAATTGCTGATCACTTAACACAGAGAGTTTGAGCGCAAGTCAAAGATGAATATCAGTGAAGAGAAAAAAAATATTCTACGTTCTACAATTTCTTTTCGATAGAGACGAAAACGCCAGCGAGGCAGCAAATAATGTTGATAAAATAATAAAATAATTGAAAATGCCCAGTCTGACCGGCAAGGGAGCACTATTTTTGATTGCCTAAGAATCACTTGAATGGAAAAGGCTGGATACACAAAGAAGCCACATAAGTTAGTGGAAATAAACCTTAAGGACCGAATACCCGTCTGTGAGTTGTTGCTGAATCATAACAAAATCAACCCATTTTGGAAGCGAATGACTACCGATAACGAGTAGTGGACTGAAGGGTTTAATTGTGTGTTTGGAGGGTTGAACAAGGAATCATCAGTATGTGCTCACTTCAAGCAGTCAGCTACAGCGAGTTTGAGCTGTTCTCCTCGACCGAGATTTAGATTGATTCGAAAAGTAAAAATCTTAGGTGCAGTGTTATGCATTTGATTGGTTAGACAGGTATTTTATCTTTATCTGCTTATACTAGGTGTGTTCGAAAAATTAAAAAAAAATTATTTTATTATAAAAAAATATTTATTTATTCGTCAACATTGATGTAATCGATCTTTGAGACCACCACTAATTCTTTCAGCGGGTTTTTAAGGTTCTCTTTATTTTTGGGATATAGGAAAAAAGGCACATGGAGCCCTATCTGATGAATATGGAAGCCGGGGTAAGGTTATAATATTGTTGTTAACAAAAATCAGTAATTCTGCATCGGAGGATGGAGCCAGACGTTGAAGTTCTCGAGGAGAAAGAAAGTTTTTGACTGTCATTGACATATGATTTTTTTTTGATACACGCAGCTCCCGACACCAGAGGATACTTGGTGTTCGGTTTTACAACAAACATCTATTTGGAGGCGTACTGAAGTGAGAAGGCGAAACCTCATGCGGTTGTGAGTGGCGTTTGGACCAATAACATTAAAAGTATGCGACAATGAAAAAGTCTTTAATATATCATTGAGTTGCGCCCATGTACCGACAGAAGAGAAGGGAGATCGGAACGTACGGTAATGCCCAAAACTTCTATGCGAAGATCCGGCGGCCCACAGAAGGTTTCAAGACCGGAGTATAATCATGTAGGAACCAAGGTGAGAACCTGGTGGCTCATATCCAGAGCATGAAAAAAGGTTTGACAAGCGTACTCTCCAAGTTCGGGAAATTTAACAGTGTTCGTTATTTTTTGAAGAGGTCTCGTATTGAGCACTCACACTTATTCCTTTGGGACTGTTTGTGAGGTAAGGAGGAGAGAGCGTGAGTCACCTTAAGCTCAAAAACAGTTCAAAATAACTGAAAATATTGATATGCCGATTATGCACTAATCAACTTTGTATCATAAAAGGATAGGTTGCTTAGTTTTTGCATTATGGTCATCAATAAAAAAGTGGGACAGATATGTAAATACGAATTAACTCAAATTTCCGCTACATTAAAATGCTAATTTTCCGATTAATGAAGCTGAAGTAATTACCAAATAATATGATTAGCAAAACATAAGCTCATTAGAGTCATTTTCCAATATAACTAAGAGAGTAAAAGCCAGCCAAGTCAACGAGGAGAATTCTAAAGACATTAAATAGATGTTTAGCATAGTCAAGAACAATAAGTATATATGAGAATGTTAGACGAAGAACAAACCAAGGAGTATAAAAATATATGGAAAATATGAATTAATTATATTATATATACTATTATTGTATTTCCAATTATGTAATAGTATTTATAATAATAAATAGAGATTTTTATACGTTTTGGTTATCTATGATAATTTAATGAAAAATATATAAACACTTATGCAGACACTATACCTAAATGTCGTGTAATTGTGTTGGTGGAAGTGTCTATTTTCGATAGTTTTGATGGTTATTCGTAGACCTAGCAAAATATATATATGTATGTGTAATAAACGGAAGTGCACTAGGTCACTTTTTATGAGCAGACAACTAAATACTAAATATTCATGCTGTTTATTTTTTTATGTTGCATTTTCTTGCTTATCTACAACGCATTTCGCACTAGAGGGGTCTAAGGAAGCAGCGAACTCATGTTTTTGGAAAATAAAACACACACACAATCACAATCGATAACGAACTCAGCTTACAGATACTGCAAATTTACAGTTATTTTATTAAATTTTTTGTTGCACTAAAATGCTTTGAGGTTGCACTAAATATCGTAGCAATATAGAAGTGTGGAGGGTGAGTGCAGGAGGAGATAAGGGAAAATTTTTGCAAATAAAATACTAAAATAATTGTACACGATTTGTGGTAAAAAAAAAAATATATATATATATATATATATATATATATATATAAGTATATGAAAAGTACACTTTACATACAAAATACCAAAGAAAAAGTCAAGTGTACAAAAGCGCTTGAAAACACACAGCTTTCAAAAAAAAATTGCTAAAAAAGGTAAATGGAAAATTAAATAAAACCAAAATAGCAAAAAGCAAAATATTTGCGCTTCATTTGAATAGAGTTGCACTTTTTTGGCTCTCAAGCACACCACAGCATGTGGTATGCATTAACCACTGGCATTAGTGTATGCTGAAAAATATTATATAAACTTTATTTGGTATGCTACTGCTCTGGCGCACGCGGCGTATACGCAACTAAAAGCATTCAAACGCTTATCTACACGCATACTATTATATATGGCGTACATGGCTTTGTGATTGTGTTGGTTGGAATTTCATTTTATTTACTTTCAACTGCAATTTGCATTTATTGCGTACTTTATGCTTTTCTGCGCGAAATGAAATGAGTGAGTTTTAAACGCTGTGAATTTTTCGAAATTTTTTTAATTAAATTTTTGTTCTTTAATTTTCCAATTCAAGGCAATCGCTTAGTTATGGCGCTTGCTGCAGTTTTTCGCTTTCATTTTGAATATTAGTTTATGGTTTAATCGCTTAGCACATTAACTAATTTGAGCTCTATGGCGCTACAAAAGGTCTAACAAAAAAAAAACGGTATAAACTTGTTGTAGACTTTACTGAAATTCATGGTTGGCACTGCATTCGCTGGTGAGAGTGTGTATGTGTGTTTACATATGTGGGCGTGGACGTGATGGTATATATCGATAATAATACGTTACGTAGTAGAGAAAAAAAAGAAAAAAAAACAACGAAAACGATGAAAGAAAAGAAGAAGAAGATTTAGATTTTACAGTTGAGTAAAAATTTTGCTAAAAATATATATGTTGTATGTATTTTTGTAAATATATATATGTATTTTCCAATAATAAATATTTTATGCGTATTTTCTTCGAAGCTGCTTTATTTTCTTAGCATTTTTTGCTTCAGAAAAAAATCACTCTACTTAATATAAATGCAGAAAAATAATCAAGGTTTCGTCTAGGGACTTTTTACATATATAAATATATACAAACAATCATACGTGGAGTGGATACGTGTGTAAATACGCTTTATGCATAAATTCAATAGTGGCATACATACATATGTGTGTGTGTGTAAATAGCGCAGACACACACGCATACGCAAACAAATGCCCTGAACTTGACGTTCGGCGCTCGGCACTCGTTGCCAAAGCTCGATGCAGGAAATATGGAAGTTCACTTTAAAAAAAGGTGAAATATTATATTATATATTGAGATGCTGACTACTTTGGGATTGATTGGTCGTCGCACTACAACAGGGAAACAGGCGGCAACAGCAGCAGCAATGGCAGCGGGTATATGTAGTACTAGCCCGGGAGAGGGGGCGCTTGGAGTGTGTGGACGACGTAGGTGAAGATTGGGATGTACATCGGTACTATGTGTGCGGGTGTGTGTGTGTGGGAGTTTTTCTTTTGGATTTTTGGTTGATTGGCTATTGACGACTGCTCGTATTGGTATTTAGTTTCTCAAAGGAGCAGTTATTTACATGGTTATTTGTTGTTGTAGTATTAAATTTGAGCATATACATGTAAGTATGTATAGACGTATGGTACATGTTATATACGCTAGTGTATTTGTAGTAGGTTAAGCTAATGCGAGCATATGCTTGCAGCTGCATACATACATACATACAGACATACATACAAATATATATAAATATGCCTGTATGCATGTATGCATATAAATATAATATTATATATTTATTTCATATGATATAAATAACGAAATATATGTATGTAGGTATAAAAAATATAAATAAATAGCAAACATATATCTACCTGGCGCAATGATGGGTTCACCAATATTGACATAGAAGAGCACATCCTTCTCATAGCTGCCTTCCTCAATGATTCCCAGCGGTATGAATTTTCTAGAAAATTGAATGAGAATGCAGAAAAAAATTAATAAGAGAGCATAGAATGTGGAGGAGGAAGAGAGTAATATAGAGAGAGCCTTGATATCAAAATCAACCCAAATCAGCACGAATTTTTGAAGGCTCGTCGTCATCCAACATATTTTGAAACACACCTGATTTACTTTTTCATGAACTAGGCGGATGTCTACATATATACTCATAAAATTCTTAATGCTGTTAAGTGTTTTTTCAGACAAGTGGTTTTCAAGCCAAAATAAATCGCATATAATTCACTGTTAAGGCCAAGAATTTAACTTTATTATAAACATAAGTGTTTGCTATGTTTTGAAAATGATTTCAGGCAAGTGATTTTCACGGGCGCTAATAAACTCCAGCCAAGAGCTTCAATTGTTTCAGCAGTTTGTACCGTATGTTAGCAATAACGCGTCGAATATTCTCTGCCAAGGAGTCAGCGTCTCGAGCTTATTTGGGTAGCCAAACGACTTTACGGCAGTGTTAAACCCCACGATCTTTGGGGCCTTTCCAAAGGCCCTTGACGCGAGATAATGCGTTTATTAAAAGTTTCTTTCCTTAACATTAGCTGTAAGTCATGTAGCACCTTGGTCTTGGAACTAAAAGCCGTCTACATCAACATTCTCTACTTCTTGGTTCCGGCACAACTAAGCTTCGATGTTGAAATCTTTTCGAAGTCTTTTCATAGAATTTCCAAATTTCGCCGATCTTGGCCAGCTCCTCAACGATGATAGTTTTTCTTTGGTCTCTGGCTTTTTCTGTCTGTTTAACTTTGTGAGATAGATAGCCTCTTCGTCTCTCATTGTAGAAACCAATTACTTCTCTACCGGCGCTAACTAGGGAGCTTCAAATGGCACAGTTCGTTATCGGTAGAAACAGCACAACATAGTGTAGTATGGAATATAGTATCGGCACTTGAAAATGGGAATGTGCCGTGGGCATCTTCTTCGATTATTTGGTGCGTAACGAGATGTGCACCATCTAGGACCTAAGCAAGTATTAAATTCTTTGTGTAAAGTTATTAAAATAGAGTTTCAAAAAATATATAATCGGGATGGTATGAACCAATAAGCAGGAGGAATTAATAATTATAAATTGGAAATTCTAGTTGAAGTGTCGAAAATGGTTCAAAAAACCAGTACTTGCTTTCGGTTAACTAATGCTTTATTAATTGATTGATCAACCTTTACCCCTAAAGCAGGAATTATTCAAGAATTAATTACATCGGCGGCTTTTACTAAAATACGTGTGGAGTGTTGTCAGCCCTCCTCAGGACTCTCCCGATCAAAAGGTTCTTGATGAAGATGGTCAATGTAGAGCAAGGAGAGAAGGATATATCAGCGGCGCTGTTCACTTTTAAAAGGTAATTGGTTTGTACCTAAAGTCTCTCATCTCTCTCTCTCTCTCTCTCTCGCAACGTAAAGCCAATATTTTTCTATGACAGTCTAGTATGGTGGACGACTTAACCGTAGTCTGAAGGTAGAGGGTGATCAGACATTCAATTGCCACTGGATCTCTTAAAATAACGCCATCTGCAGCGCTTCATGCGATTTTGAGTAAAAAATTGCAAACAATAGGACACTGGTAGCTGGCGCGAAGTTGTATCATTCAATACAGCGGAGAATTAAGACATACGGAGAGAGTAGTAAAGCCTACATGAAGAGATTACGTAATGCAGCGGTTTACTTACGGAAATCTATAATCAGTTAGTTAGAGGCCACTGGCTGGAGCAAAAGACTGACTGAGAAAACCGGTTGCCGAATCACATGGGCTTCGAAGGTAATAGAGGCCAGGCCCATTAGGAGAGATGAAATACACAATAAGTAATCTTACTTCGTCAGGAGATTTGATTTTGAGAAGGAACAAAGGGTTCTAGAGTCTCGAAGACTTTGCCTAAGCTAGCAGAAAAAAGAGATCAAACACCACGTTGTTAGTAAGAGTGTTAACGCCCCTTTCTCTTTTAGAGTTACGTGCCTTTCATTTAGATCTAGTAGAGGGTAGAAAATGCTGGCAATTTGTGGAGATACGAAATCTGTAAATGTACGGCACTCGGCTGGTAGAGCCTCTGCTTGCTTGGCTAAGACAAGCTGTAGAACCTTCTATCAGCTTTGGAGAAAGAGTCAAAGTGACTAATTCAATTTCCAAAGATAACAACAATGTTCTTCGAGCTAGAGGCACAAAAAAGAGTGTAGCAGTACAGATTTGGTCGTGGGAGTCCACCAGCTCAAAATTTAGTTATGATCAGATTCAACACATTTCACAACTTTAGCCTTTAAAAAAGTTGAGATTTAGTTCAATGAAAATATGGAATAAATCTTGGGTATATAAACATATATACATGTTTAATCGACTGAAATGGACTTCGCTTCGGCTGTTATGCTGCGCTCAAACTCAGTTGGCTACTTGTATAAGGGTTACATATGTCACCACATATCTACATATGCAGTTATGTGTGTATATATCCCTCCAAACACCGCGACTACTCCGTTCACGCGTGAAGTATATACTCAACGCGGTCAAAGGAGTAATCTAAAATTTACCACAATCCATACAAAAAGTATGGTTATGTCTCTTTCTGTATGATGCTTGAGTCATCCTAGGATTACATATTTGAAACTAGTTTTGAATCTAATCCAAAAATGACTCCATGGAGTACTTAAAGTAGATTATATCATAGAGTATATTCGAAAACTGACATTCGTACATAACTTTTTTGGAAACATTTTTACTTCTATTCTGAAACATATGCGCCTGTTCCACGTACCAACGAAATGAAACTGACTCAATTTCATTTTCGCACATTTTCTGTATACGAGTAAAAATGTTATTGTGCATCGGCATCTTCGTTTAGTGATTGCGATCGTTAAAAACGAGCAATCGTCGGCTTGCAACAGCGTTGTAGCGAGACGCAAGTTGATCCAATTGTTGGTGACAGGGATTAGTTTTTGGATTAATCCAAGGGACCATATGCTTCACAAACTTTTGCAGAGATGTCTAACCCCGATTATGTGAATGTGTTTGTGTATTCGTGTACATAATGAATAAGCAATAAATTTCAGCTGTGACAAGTTTCGCGCATAATTTAACAGCTGAACATTAACACAAAGGCAAATATGTACAATATACATATGTATATACATTCATATGCGGATGATGTTACTAAGTGTACCGCATGTAATATATATACATAAATACATATGCATAGGGACAAAGTTTGAAAACAGCAATACAAAGATTTTTGTACGAGGTAAAATAAATCCGCTCATAAGCAGGTGGGAAAATCACACGTGATACAGGTGTTGTTGTTTCTTAATTTATATTAAATATTTATATATAATATATATTACATGCGGTACACTTAATAATTATATATAAATATATATATAAATATTTAATACGTTTAATAGAGTAAAATTATTTCGAATAGTTTGATTTCTTAGTGTACAACTTTGCTTCCGCCGTTTTTTTTTNCACTGTCCACACTCACTTTAAAGGCATTATCATCTATGTATTTCAACCAGCCTCAGCCGGTACAGCCACCTATCGGAAAACGGCGGAAGCAAACTTGTACACCTGATAATTTTACAAAGGTTGCTTTAATGAAAACTCGTATATTAACTGCCACTTAGTGTGATTAGCTCGTTTTGAGCTCAATAGTAACTAGTAATTTTGCGGCCAGAGCTGAGAAGACACCCTCTCTGGTTGTTGTTTTCACCACAGGTCATACCCTCAGTACAAAAGATATGTGATTTATTGGTTTTCATGAAATTGCACTCTGTTAAGGAAATAAGTATGCTGAAGAAGCACTAATGTATTGTACATACGTATGTACGTCCATATGTATGTGCGCGTGAAGAAGATGCATGCGATGCATTTTTCTTAAAAGCAATGACATATCAGAAATGCTAATAAATTAATTTATAGATAAAAATAAATAGCACAAGGCACGAGGTTCGCTACTTGCTTAATGGCTTTCTACTTTATGCGTATTATTTGCTAATCACACTCATTTGCATAATTTTAGGCGTATGCTTATTATTCCCTTCGAACTGTTGTGTAATTAATTAAGTATTGTAATTTCCAAACAAGTTGTAGAGAAGAAAATTCAGGTATTTAAATAAATCATTTGTTGAGACGGCTTTCATTAAGTGAAGAAAGTGGAAGAAAGAAATATCATAAATACTTCAGAGGGCTACTACAAATTGAATTAAATTTATGTAATCTGCGGAGTTTGCCGAGCCGTAAGCATTGTACACTACCATTATATTGGTTGCCCAAAGAGTAATTGCGGATTTTTCATNCACACATCTTTGATCACTCGCCAAAAACTGAGTGAGCTTGGCTGGGAACTTTTGATGCATTCACCATATAGCCCTGACCTTGCATCGTTTTTCGATCTTTGCAGAACTCCTTAAATGGTAAAACTTTCGGCAATGATGAGGATATAAAATCGCACTTGGTTCAGTTTTTTGCAGATAAAGGCTAGAAGTTCTATGAGCGTGGAAAACTAAATTTGCCAGGTTACCGAACAAAATGGCAATTATATATTTGATGAAAGTTCATTCTAAGTTTTATTAAAAATGCATTTACTTTCTTTTAAAAAATCCGCAATTACTTTTTGGGCAACCCAATATGATATTAATTTTAATAAAAAAAAGTTTGGGTTATATTCCTCGACAAAGTATGTCAACCCCTCCGAGTGTATTTCTGAGTTGAAATAAATGAGTTCCTCATAGAGCCGCTCGGAGGCAGCTTAAAATTCACTTTATCTCCATCGAATTGTTGCAAATATATCAAGAGGCACACCTGTAATTGGAGGAGGAGTTTCAGCGATTACCGAGCACCAATTACTTAGTATATTAAACAGGGTTATCCATTTTGTGGTTTCGAAAATAGACGTAAGTAAAATGAATTTTTTAAAAATCTATTTCTGCTATAAAGTTTGCACCGTGACATTATATGTGAGACACTACATAAATGAC